TCCGTTTTTTAGTGATAGTCTACTGAATTCGTTTATTGTTTTAATGATCATCTACCGAATTCGTTATTGAGTTTATCTTAATATTGTTTTTTACTAGGAACGTAAGCACTTTAGGTGCATGTCGAAGACATCTACCCTTAATTGGTGGAATTGGTGGGCTAATCCAAATAATGGTATATTCAAATGATACATTCAGATGTCTGGATTAGAACAACTTATTAGGTGTTCTTATCGAAATGCTGATAAGATTGTTGTATCTACCTTCATTGAGAGGTGGCATCTCGAAACAAACATCTTTCACATGCCTTTTGGTGAGATGACTATCACATTGGATGATGTGTCATCTATTTTAAAGGTGTCACCTTGTTTTTTTTCATTCAATAGGAGTAAGGTCAAAATAACTTACATTAAATTTGTGGTCAACAATAAGTTACTGAAAAAATAAATATATTTCGGTTCATTGCCACTAAATTGTAGGTGAAAATTCAGTAATACACCACCGAACACCGTTCCATGTTATGGTGGATCTCCATTGCATCTTAAGTTAACGGCCGGTCAAACACAACCAAAATAGGTGCAATGTTTCAGTAGCATTCTACCGAATTTACTTATTGCGTTCGATACTGGTGTACTGAACGCAACCAGCGACCATAATGAAATCCTAAACTTGAAAAATGCCAAAAAATAAACTCATACTTCATTCAAAGTCTCTCTAACTTCAGTCTCACCATTCATGAATAAATACGAGATATTTTTTCACCATTATAAGCGTATAAACCTCATTAGGGTTGTAAGAACATGACAGTTTGAGAAAAAAAAGTCTAACTAGGGTTACGTGAACATATGTGAGGTGTAGTAAGCAAATTTAATTTTTATTTTAAATTTGTTTGTCCTTAACAGTAATTATGTACAATGGTTAAATATGTTATTCGTATTTAAAATTAGTATGTGGTGCAAAGAGCAAATAATGGGGTGCCAATAAAATCTCTAATAAAATTATACTATATTATTTTTATGATCTAAAGATAAATCAATGATGCAACAACTAGATTGGACAAACCATAAAAGCAAAGGAGAGTCCAATTGATTATTATTTTCTAGTCCTGGATGGAGAAAGTGTAAAGGATCACCTGCTACCATTCACTTTTAAAATCAATCTGGTTGAATGGCAGGTTTTGACATCTTTTTGTTTGGTAGGTATTATCATCGTAATCATTTTTCTTTGAAAGATAATTTTCCATTAGCTAAGTTTGTGAGGGCCATTAAATTGTTGATTTGATGTTTCTAGAAAATGTGAAATTATTGTATGATATTAAAATATGATCGATATATTTAAAATATTTTCACTTTAGAGTATAATATCAATAAATATCTTCTTACATTGTACTATGTAGACGAGTTATTCCACGTGATTTTAGTACCACACTATGATTATTTAAAAGTGGAGAAGGAAAATTAAAAAGAAAATAATAGTAATATTTTGGAAATAAACAAATAATCATGTACGCATTTGTTTGTACATGTAATTTGTAAATGGGCATATTCCATGGCTCTTGGAATAATTCCAATGTGCTTTGTTTGCTTCCAAATCCAAAAGCATCTCTCCACCACGGGCCACAGTATGATCCTGCAATTCTGGGTCCTACTTGCATCCTACGGCTCACAGCAATCCAAGAACACTTGGGGGCCAGGTTGGACACTCTGGGCCCCACAGGAAGCTTCCCCACTTACTTCTTTTTCATAGGATACAAGGTCCATTCCAGCACACGTGTACAGCGACCCAGTCTGCCAGCCCCAACGTTTTGTCTGTAACGTTATCTGCTCTCTACAAAAAACCAACGTCGTCATACTTTTATTTTATTTTAATTTTATTTTTGCTGGGAGATTAATTATTACTTTGGCGGTGGTCGGTGGTTCATCTTAAAAAGGCGATGCTAATTATATATTTCCATTGGTTTAATTTAAAGACTTATCACCGAAATCTCGTCATTCAGCTCATCCCTAAATTCTCACGATAAATTCATACAATTTCTCTTTTGTGCAAATGGGAGGTAGACGTGCTTTTTGGTAAAAGAGAAATGCCCTCATGTTTCAACTTCGAATTCTTCCTCTTTATTATTAATATGAGAAATCGAAAGAAACTTCATGTTTAAACAATTTTTTTTATTTTAGTTGGCCCTTTGTGGCTGAGTAAAGGTATGCTATATGAGTTTGATGTTGGCTATGGATTCTTCCATATTTGGTTATAACTTGTAACTCTTTTATGGGTAGTTGTAGTGACCCTTTTGACTATTGTATTTGTATTGCCCTTGTGGCGTAATTTATGAATGCAATCTTCTTACCGTTACAAAAAAAAAAAAAAAAAAAAAAAAAAAAAAAAACTCTAAACCTTGATTGTTACCATCTTTTCATATTTTTTTTTCCTAGGCATGATCCTTTTAAATATTATTTATTATTTTCTTCATCATATCAATTGAGTCTTGAACAATCATCCACAATTTAATTTCCACATCTCTAAACAAGCCTCTAAAAGGGGTGATGAGGAAGACTTCTTATTCAAAAACGCCAAAATGGACTTATTCACTAACCCAAAAAAAGAAGAAGCAAGAAGAGAGAAAAGGGGAGGAGGGGCAATATTGCTTCTTCCTCCTCCCCCTCTATGAAGTTTTTCTTTTTTATTTGTCGTGGTAGTTGGCTTTTGCCTTCTTCTAATGCAAATCACTTTCGACCAAAAAAAAATCTAAACCTTTTCATGAATTAATACATGTGTACATTTTATGAAAATGAAATATAATTTATGACATGTATATGCTACATCAAACAAAAACACATGCCTAGTTACGAAAAGTCAGGTTTAAACTAATTTATGATATTAAGCACAATTAGTAACTACACCTTTTGAAAAAAAAAATAATAATAATACCTAATTAAGTTCCTTTGGAGTGACGAATACGTGACAATCTGAAAGCCAAAGCAGGTGAAATGCTTTTCTCTGAAAGTTACTTCTTGATTGGTGATGGAACGTTGAAGCAAAGTTTTTAATACTATGATCCAATCATTTACAACCATGTAGATATGTGAATGGTCAATTCCTTCCCAGGCCCTAGTGGGACTGAGACATTGACGTACAGTGCATATAGTGCATAAAGACATTTAAGCAAAGTTGAATATTTTCGTCAATCATTCAATTAATTATGACACTGTGTATGAATGATGAGTCAGACATATCATAACTATTGTTCATGAGATTTAAACCTAACAGACCAAATTTTCATTCTGTTATATAAAAAAAGAATAATTAAGAAGTCTTATGTATTTGATGTTTTATAAAATAAATAGGTTACGTTAGAAAGGGCCAATATTTTTCTTCTCCGACACATGAATGGACGTAGTTGGATCATACCTAAAATTACGAGAAGAACTTCCTAGTCTCGGTGTCATTGTCACTGTTTTCCTATATCTCTTTTTACATGAAATGTAACATACGGAAATAAATTGGAAGAGGGATGCAATGGCATGAAGTAGAGGTGGCAATTATCGATATGACACATGAATGGACATAGTTGGTTCATACCCAAAATAACAAGAGGAACTTCCCAGTCTTGGGTGTCATTGTCATTGTTTTCATATCTCTCTTTTTATATAACATATAACAGAAGGAGATAGGTAGGAAGAGGGATACAATGACATGAAAATAGTTGTGGCAATTATCAACATGACACGAACAAAATGCAAGTTAAATTCAGGTCAACCCGCCATTAAAAAAGGGGGGGGGGGGGGGGGGGTGGGGGGGAGTGTTTCATTTACCATAGGTCACATTTAACATGTTTTAATTTTGTTACATATTTTTCACATTAAATTGTCTTTTTGTATAATATATTATCATATGAGTTATTGGCTTATATGAATATTTAATTGCTTAATAAGTTTTTTTGTCAGAATAATTTAAGCGGGTTAAACGAGTCAACAAATTAGGGTTAATCATTTTATTAGTCATTGAACTTAGTCCCGATTTGTATTTGAGTACCTCAATTTTCAAAATAGTTCTCGTGGTCCTTTAACTTCACTTTTGTTAGGACAAATGGTCCTGCCGTTAATTTTGTTAACTTTTTCAATTAAATGCAGGGCAAAATGATATTTTTATATTAAAACCAAAAAAAGAATAAAAAATTATATATTTAAAATAACAATAAAAGAAAATCAAATAAAAAACCAACAAAAAAAAAAAGAAAAATTAAGTTTGGGGGGAGTAGAAATCGGGATAGAGAGGGGGTTGAAGGACCACGAGAATTATTTTGGAAATTGAGGTACTCAAATGCAAATCGGGTCTAAATTTAGGAATTAATAGTACGATTAACCCAACAAATTAATATGTTTAACTTCAATAACAATTCAACTCAACTAATTTAATAAACAGAACCCTTATAATAAATAAGTTGTATTCGAATTGGAGATTTTTGATCCGTTTAATACCTCAATATGACCCGACCCCGACGCCAAACAACCCACAACGGCAAGTGAGTATTTGTCCAAAATAAGACCTCACAAACACAGCACACCCCTCATCGACCATTCAACGTCTCGTATCTCGCGTGAAATACATCACACTCACTCTCCAGTCTCAACGAAAAACTGCCCGGAAAGCGCCTCCATTTCTACCAACTTCACTTTATTCCATGCTTTTAAATAAAAAAGAAAAGAAAAAGAACAAAAAATTCCTTGTCTTTGGTGCTACAGTTCCCTCTCTCTCTCTCTCTCTCTCTCTCTCTCTCTCTCTCCTGAAGCTGCTGCCAAATCCAAAGCTCCTAACAGATGTCTCAGTTGGACTTTAACAAAAGCATTTCCCAGTTGCCACCTCCACCTCCCTCGTAGTCAGCGCCCTCCTCCACATCACTCTCTCTCAATTCTCAAGCGCAGAGAGAAAAAGTGAAGAACGAGAAGGAAAAGCGCAACTGTTCAATCGCTGCGTGGAAGCCTGGAAGATAGGGTTTGGAGCAGACATGGGGACCGGACGGAGACAGTTGAAGGTTATGCTTTGGAAGAATTGGCTTCTCAAAGTTCGTCACCCTTTCGTCACCTGCGCTGAGGTTTCCTTCTTCTCCTCATTTCTTCAAATTTGACTTCATTATAGTTTTTTTTATAGTCATAATTTGTTTGTATCGACTTCCGGCCTTGATTTTCTTTTTCATTCTTTTAAGCGATCATCATAAATTCAGAGTTTTTTTCGTTTGTTTTTGAGTTTACTGTGTAATTCGGTGTGGAATTTGTAAATTTTAGACTTAAGATGATCATCATGCTGCCGAGACTGCTATTTTGAGCAGCACTTTGTTTTTGTTTCTTTTGTTTTGGTAAACAGGGGCCAAAGCCCGAAAACAAACAACCAAGAGGGATAAGACTAGTTAGATGATCAGCAGCGATTTGCTTTGAATTGCTCCTTTATATAATCTTTCTATTTTAGGATAATTGCTAATTGAGAGTTATGGAGAAAAAGCTGTATAGTTATCTAGGGACTTTAAAATAAGTATACCGGATTAATGTCACTATAGAAAAAGAAGAGTAGGGAGGTGCTGAAAATCAAGGTTCAAGTGATTTTATAGAGTTAAATTTTTGCTGTCTAGCTCAATCTTGCGGTTGAGAAATTCAAGATGATGTGATTCATAGAATCACCTCAAGATGGGTGAGGAGTATGCATGATCATCGTATACCTTTTGGAATGGAAAGGTAAAGTTATAGAAGAGCTTTTAGACATGGAACAAAATGCTGGACAGTTATGAGGATGTTGATATGGTGGGAAGACAAGAAAGGATAGGATTTGAAATAAAACTAGAATGTTGAATTAGCACATATTGAGATAAAATGAGAAAGCACCGACTATGTTTGGTTTGTATGTGTTCAACAAAGATCAATACATGCACCATTTAGAAGAGTGACTTAATGAGCGGAGATAGTAGTGCTAGGGGAATAGGAAGACAATAATAACAAGGGTATAGGTAATTAGGATTGTTATGATAGCATGTGACTTTAACGAAAAGTTGGGATCAAGCTATGGTGCTGCTGCTGCGGCTGTTGTTGTTGTTGTCTTTGTTATTGTAGCAATTTGCTTTGTTGTCGTTGTTGTTTGTTTGTTTCCTTTGTTCTTCTATGCTGCCTTCATTTTAATTGTAAAAGTAAACAATTAAAACTTATTGTCTTCCTTTTGGATTTTGGTTTTAAAGTGGCAGTTTCTCATTAGGTGTTATTCATAATGTTTCAAATTTAAATAATTTTCTTATTTATTTATTTTGCTTCACTTTTGTGAAGAAAAAGTTGATGAAACCAATCTGAAACTTCTTTATGATTTTCTTGCAGATATTACTCCCCACAGTAGTAATGTTGTTGTTAATAGCTATAAGGATGCGTGTCGATACACAGATTCACCCTTCGCAGCCGTAAGTGGCGACAAAGTCTGGCTAATTTTTGTGTTTCATATATGTTTGTAATATAGTGTGCGTGTGTGCATGGCAGGGTGTGTGTGTTGCATGGAGTTATGTGCTTTTTACTTGATTTGTTACTACATATTTTAAGGATGTTTCACTTTGGGCAATATTCTCCCAATACTTAATAAATTTGAAGGAAATAAGGAAACAAATGAAATTAAAACCCTACATGGATTTGGGCAAGGTTTTGTGTGTAGAATCTCTCATTTTGTGAGAAGTATTGGTGCTAAGTTTAATGAGACTTGACCAGGTATATCCGGAAAGAGATGTTTGTGGAAGTGGGCAAAGGAATATCACCTAACTTTGAACAAGTTTTGGAATTACTGTTGAATAAGGAAGAGTTTCTGGCTTTTGCACCAGACACCGAAGAAACAAGGTCAATGATTAACATAATATCGGTTAAATTTCCCCTCCTGAAGGTACCCATTCTTATCTATTGCCTGATTTGGTTACTTTTGGTATATAGTTGTGTGTTCATGCACATGCTAGGCACATTCTTTTTCTTTAGGACATCTGAGCTTTGACACCTCTTCTCTATTTTGCAATTTGTTTTAGAAAGTATTGAAGTCTTTGTCACATATGAGATTTGTTAACCACCCTACATAGAATGGATGATATTGGTGTGGGACTCTAGTTACCCTCAATTAGATATCAAGTCTTGTACTGTCTTCATTCTAGCAAACTATTGAAAACGCAGATGTTTTGTTAACGTTTCATCCTGCTTTTGATTTTCTTAAATGGTGTCCATTTGCATAGGGAGGCTTCATCTTTAAGAGTATGATTTTTGGGCTAATTCATTAGTGCACTATTGTGAGCGAGACATGGTCAATTAGGCGTCTTTTTTATTTTTTTGGGGTGTCTTTTTCCTAATAGAAAAATTTAGGGTTAAGTTCTTGGTTTTCTCCACTTTCTCGGCCTTTTGGGTTAAGATCAAGTGTAGTATTGTCTTATTAGTAGTTTCAGATGATTGACCCAATGGTCATTAATTATTAGGCATAGAATTTGTTGCTTTTATTTATTAGAAAAAATCTTATTTCTGCCCTTCTTTTAAGGATGTTTTAGTTGCAAAGTTCGATCTTTGATTTCCCGTATGGTTCTTTCATCACATTTAAGCATGGCTGTGTTAGTTGGAATTGCTTGTATAAATTAGAAAGGAAAATAAAGGGGTTCACAATGTGTCCTTTTCATTTCCTTCACAAGGGTTTTCATGGCTCAAGCTAAATAAAGTGCATTTCATATACAGAATGTTTCTAGAGTTTACAAAGATGAACAGGAGCTGGAAACTATATAGGCTCAGATCTATTGGTACCTGCAATCAAATAATGTAAGTGTACTTTGTATCACAGTATGGATCTGAGCGAAATTTCTGAAATGAATTTCGATTATAGTGGGGAGGAGAAGTATGAAAGATAGTGAAGAAATGCAAATTACCAAATGTGTTCTTTGGATGGTTTTCTTGTGTGGTCAAACGTTCCTGCCAATATCTTGCAGATTCGGGATCTCTTGGACTACATGACTGTAGCTTCATGGAATAAGAATTGATTCAGGGCATTTATTCATTTTTTAAATGTGCTGGCTTCCTGAAATTATCGGTATGATCCACAAGGTCTTCATTGAATTGAATGTGATGATTTTTGAAAAAAAAAAAAAAAGGGAGACCAAATCATTACCTGCACAATTAAATGTTTATCATTAATGTGGATTAACTGTGCTAGAGTATTGGGATAAATGTGTGCGAGAGATATAATTGCATTGTTATGGGGGGGATATCTCATACTCTACTTACTTGTACCAATTCCAAAGGTTTTGATTTATTTTTTATTTTGTATTCTATATTATGTAATTTATTTTTTTTTAAAGTAGTCATCTGACTTATGCTTATAGTTTAAAACTCTTACGATACTGTATTTCTATGGATGGTCTTGTGTTTGTGATCAACTGGAGGCTATTTTGAACAACGAAAGTATGTTGATTAGGCGAAGGCACATTATAAATTAGCTGTGGTCACTGATAAACGGACTATGTTTAGGCATTGCTCGAATCCAAAAAATCAACGGAGCAGTAATATTCAGGACCAAGGCCCCAATCTTTTGGATTATAGATCGTCTCCATCACACATGGCGTTCTCAGGATTTCCGACGTTAAACCATCAGGACACACAATGGTCCCTACCTTAATGACTTGGAACTGGGGGGAAAGAAATACAGTACGACATGCAATACGCTTCAGCGGTTCTTAACTGTATGGTTGCTTCGTACCCTTCGCCCCTTATTGATTTGGATAGCTGACTTCATATTGTTCTTTAGTGATGATGGAGCTTTGTCAAAAACTATATTTATATTTCTAAAAACTTTTTGTTCTCCAGTTGTGGGTTCCCAAAATTTGTCTATACAAAAAGCGGGGTTTGGGTTATGAGTTATTTTATGGCAATTCAGGGTCTAGTTAAAAGTAATTTAATAATATTTTTGTCACAGTCGTTAAGTAGATCGTTGGTGATGGTTTTGAGTCTGAAGTAAGGTTGAAAAATCCAATGAGTTTAGTGGCACAGACGTAGACGATCTTTTTTCCTGGCTCTCTTAAATTCATCATTAGATGCTGTGGGAAAAACAAATCCCTTTTAAGAATATTGATTTTTTAAATTTGGTATGTAAATCCCACAATAGAAATATAGCAATGCGGTCTCTAGTAAAATATAATTGATATTTACATGATATTTTACAGTCCCCCCCCCCCCCAGTCAAGTTGCAGTCTTTCTCTTGTTGTTTTCCAAAAGAATCATAATGTTGAGCCAAGTGTGTAGTTTTGTGTCATATTCAAAGTTTGGTGCGAAGTATTTTTTTTCCCAAACATAGGTAGGATTAGGGTGTATTTATACCCATACTGGGTATGATATTGTTGTGGCTTGTCCTTCTCAGGACCCTCTCTTCCGAGTTTTCATAGTGTGACTCATAAATTTTGTATAATGGTGATGATTCAAATGTAACGATATCCCATTATGACCAATCTTCAATATTCTGAAACTTGATGGTTAATACGATAGCCAATTATAAACCTTAATAGTTGAAGGAGGTTATTTAACAATAGATGCAACTTCTAAACTTTCATCCTTGTGAATATGGTCATATTTTTTTTTTGTTTTTTTGTTTCACAAATATTTTCTGATCGCCTGAAAGCGCCTATATACAAATAAAATTGTGGGGAACTGCTGTATATTTGTGGAAAACTGTATGTCCCCATTCTTCTTTATGCATTATATAATTGCTAGCTCCAGCAAGTTTGGATTCCTTTATAATTTTGCGGCCCAGCATCTTGACCCCCCCCACCAACAAATAGAACTTCCTTATCTTGCCCTTTGGCAAACTTCTCTCTTAACGTGCATGGAAGAGGTTTATGGCCATCAAAACATCGAATAGTCCCATTCAACTCGTGATACACTGTAGAGTTTCAGTCCATCATAAAAAGTGTCATGGTGTGTATTGTATGTATCTTGCATTTATTTTTTAGATCGTTTTTATCTTTTTATTTGGTTTCTGTTATTGTTCATGTTATAAATCATCAGACCCATCAATATCTTAGGCATCCATTATACGCATTTCTGTTTGGTTGTTTGAACTGGGAGAGCAGGTATCTTTGGGATTTCTTAACCCAATTCTCGATTGATCACATTATGTGTTTGAGAAGGTTTGGGTACTGTTATTATTATTTTACTTGAAATAAAGCAAAGATTTCCTTATTCACCTCACGGTTTCTGTTATTTCTCTCTCTGTTTTTGTTTTCTTGGTTAACGTTATGGATGAGAGTAAGTTGTTTGGGATCCTGTATGTTCTGACTGCAACTGTTTTATATAATGTTTCAGGAACAGAAGATAAGCGAAGGTCTTTATATGATGGGGGCTGGAAGAGGGATTTCCATTTTTCATGTTGTATTGCATAGGCTTTGCAGGTTAGTCTTTGTCTTTTGTATTTTTGTTTAATTTATGAAGAAGTGCTCAGAAAGAATCAATCAATTAACCCCATTTTTATATTATAATTTATATTTAAATTTAATTATTGCCACCAGTGCATGCTCTGTTTTTTGGGAAGATTTTTGAAATATTAATCTAACTTCAAATTTCAGTTTTTGGTTTGTTAGGATTAGAAGTCTAACTATTGTTGCATGGCTCTATATTTGCACTGGAACAAGATTGAGTCTCAGCATTGATCAACTTGCCAAGAAAGAAGGTCTCTCTGATTGATAAGCAAGTAGTGTAATGTAACTAGGTGTTGTGGGTTGGTTAGATCGTGAATATACTTAGGTACACTAGACAGAGATGGAGCGGCTATGTTTAATCGTTTTTCTGAAATTTGAGTCCCATTGGTTTGAGGGTGTGAAAAAATGCATAAGATGGTCTGTTGATTAGGTTAGTTGCGTTGGTGGTATTAGATCAAGTCTATTTGAATAAGAGTAGAAAATATAACGTGACTTTTTCAGGGCTTGTCATCAATAACAATTTTCTGTGGGTTTGTTTTGTTTTGTTTTTTTTTTTCTTCTGATCGTTTTGATTTTCTGCAGTTTGCAGTCTTCTGCGATTATTCCGGTTTGCACTAGGATCTTTTCAATACAGAGTGATACGCAGTGGGTTCATTACTTTTCTTCTTTGGGACTAAGTGCATTATGCTGTCATTTTTAATCTCTACATTCTTCACACGAGCGAAGACAGCTGTTGCTGTTGGGACCCTTACTTTTCTTGGTGCTTTTTCCTTACTACTCTGTCATGATGAGGGTGTGGCCTATGTAAGTACTGGCTTTGTACATATCTGTGGTGATCTCTCTCTCTCTCTCTCTCTCTCTCTCTCTTTCTACTTAATGAGACAATGTTGAAAATTCGAGTGCAGATGGGTTTCATTCACATTTCTCTTTCAGGACATTAAAAGTGGTGCATCTTTGCTTTCACCAACGGCCTTTGCTTTAGGATCAATTAACTTTGCTGATTATGAGCGTGCTCATGTTGGCCTTCGTGGAGCAACATATGGCGCGTATGTTCTGTATTTGGGTCTTTCCTGTCAAAAGTATTTAGCCTGTATCGTTGTTTAATTTGATACTATTATCTTTCTAGGCATCATCTGGCGTGAATTTTTGGTCTGTCTATTGATGATGTTGCTCGATGCGTTGCTCTACTGTTTAATTGGTCTGTATCTGGACAAGGTATATCTTTCAGAATCTTATCTTTTATCAGAGTTCCTAATTATGCCAACAGATAGACTGACAACATGCCAATATTCCATGTTTAAGTGTGTTCGTGCCTAAGTTGGCTTTTCTTATGTGATCAGGTCCTTCCTTTTTTTTTTTTTTTTTTTTTTTTTTTTTTTTTTTTTTTTTTTTTTTTTTTTTTTTTTTTTTTTTTTTTTTTTTTTTTTTTTTTTTTTTTTTTTTTTTTTTTTTTTTTTTTTTTTTTTTTTTTTTTTTTTTTTTTTTTTTTTTTTTTTTTTTTTTTTTTTTTTTTTTTTTTTTTTTTTTTTTTTTTTTTTTTTTTTTTTTTTTTTTTTTTTTTTTTTTTTTTTTTTTTTTTTTTTTTTTTTTTTTTTTTTTTTTTTTTTTTTTTTTTTTTTTTTTTTTTTTTTTTTTTTTTTTTTTTTTTTTTTTTTTTTTTTTTTTTTTTTTTTTTTTTTTTTTTTTTTTTTTTTTTTTTTTTTTTTTTTTTTTTTTTTTTTTTTTTTTTTTTTTTTTTTGTGACCGTTTAAGTAGTTTTTGCTCAGTGTATCTCCAACACACAGATTTCAGGTTCCCTATCTCCTTAGGAATTGTACCAGAAAGCTTATTTCCATCGAGAAAGAGAGGGTAAGGTTTGCCAGATAACCTAAATGTTTTGGGATTGAACCCAGAAAGATTGTTTCTGTATAAGAGTAATTCCATTAGAAGACTTCAAATTTCCTATTTCTGAAGGGATAGAAACCAGAAAGTTATTGTGAACAATGCACATGGTCAGTTTTTTTAAGTTCCCAAAGTTTTAGGATAGGACCGGTGAAAATTGTTGGTGTCCCTGTAGAGTTCAACCAACTAGAAGATTTCCAAGTTCTGGAGGAATGGAACCAGAAAGATTGTCCAAAAGATTGTCAGAGAAGTCAGGTAACTCATACTACCCAGAGAAGCAGGAACTGCGCCCTCTAGATTAGTGGTGGACATGGTAGTTCATTAGAAAGTTAAGCTGGCCAAGTTCTTGAGGATTTGAGCCATTTAACTTTTTTTCATGTAGTTTTCAGGAACTTAAGATTTGTAAGAGACAATTTCTGATGGTTTCCCAAAAACTGATTAGAAGAGAGATCAAGGTGAATGAGTTTGGAGGGGAACTGATTTGAGGTGGTGGGATGAAACCCAAGAATTTATTGAGGCTGAGGTCAAGATATTCAGAATTAGGGAAAGACGAGAGCGAATTTGTGTACGTACCTTGTAAACCAGAATTGGTAAGGTTTATCCTGTTAACACTTCCAGCTTTGTTGCATGAAATACCAGTCCACATATTGCACGAATTGCCAGAAGAGTTGGTGGCATTGACATTACTGGGAGGGTGAGTCCATGAGGTTAGATTTTGCAGCTGGGTTTGATTTTGGAGGTGGCTTTCCATTTGAGGAGAGCCTCTGCTCATCAGAACCAGAGACAATAAGCTGAACATACAAGAAGAAAGACAATAAGCCAGAGAGCTTAGTTTTATCATAGTAAGTTAAAAATCTCATGGTTTTTTCTTAATTTCAGGGTTTTTTGTTTTACATTGATGCGTTATAGACTTGAGGCATCACAGACTTGAAAACTCTCTTCCTCTTATTGATTTATTTCACGTTTTGGAACTTCATTCAGGTTGGAATATACAAAGGATTACGTATGGGAAATATTGAAACGGTCCTTTCCAGTAGTTTGCTGCTGTCTGTTTTGCAGCTTTTGTAGTTTTCTTCAACACTTTTTCAAAGTCTTTGTTTCTTATTTTCAAATTTGAATGTATCAATTGCATCCTCTCCTTGAATTAATAAAAATTTCACATGGAGGAGTACCGATTACCTGTACATATACATCCAAGCAAAACTTATAAGAAATCTAAGTCTTCAATCAATTAAAGTGCACTTCTAGCGAGTGTTTCTTATTAAATATAACTCTATCTAACTGTACTAATAAAATTAGTGTATTGGACAAGGGCAGCTTGATTAACAAGAATTCGAGGTTGATAATTTCAATTATACTACCACCTATACTGTCATCTCTTTAAAAAAGCAAGCACTTGGGAAAGGCAATATTCGAACTTGCTAAAACCCAGAGCAACCCCTGTGAAAAGTAGGCCTGGCAAAGGGTAGCGAGCATAGCGTCCTGGGCCTAATAAGTTGAAGATCTCATTGTTTTTGTTGTTTGGTAACAATGATATGCCATTTTCTATTACTCTCTGTTTGCATATTAAATTCACATAGACTTTGAGATTCAGAGTTAAAGATTCTAACTTTAAAAGGTTTCTTCCCTCCACGTCAACACTTCCGGTCCATTTTGATGTTGTATGCAGCAGCAAACACACATTTTATCATTGAAAAGGAATGAAACTAATACGATAACGCTAGGCAATTTGGTGACGAAAATGCTCAAATCTGATGTCATACCATGTACGAAAAGAATTATTGCTTGTTATCCTCTCTCAAGGAGAGCCTGTATAATATGATTACAACAAATGAAGCTCACAAAGCCTAAATATTAGTAATTCACATGATTTGGTCGCAGCTGGTAAGATCAATAATGGCGTTACATCCTTCTGTTTAAATGTTTCACTAACTCTAGTTAACCCTCTATTTGTCTTTCTGTGTAGGGAGATTTGTATTGTTACAAGAAATGTCATGCATGGTAAGCCTTAACTGTGATTTTCATGTAAGTTTCATGTAGCACTGCAACTGCGAGCTTTAGGATGGTAACACACTTCATCCAAAATGTTACCAGTGGGATGCGCAAGGCAATCGTCCACCACATCCCCCAACATTTTGCCCGTCCACCGATTGCAGATGACAACGCAGACCCCCTAGATTGGTAGGGTACTTTCTTTAATCACTTCAAGAGCTAACTCCCCAAACCTATAGACGGCACATGCCTCTGTCACTTCAATGTGTAAGCAAGCTCTGCCAAAAGGGTAAATGTTAAGAGAACAATGTATCAGGGGAAATGCTCTCAATCAGACAATATGTGACATATTATGTTGCCAAGAATGTAAATCCAAACATCTGATGAAAACAACACAAGATGTTGAATTGTACCTGGTGCTATGTATCCAATTGTGCCTACAACCCGCAGTCCAGTTTGATGATTCATAATCTAGAATCTTAGCAGTTCCGAAGTCTGAAATGCGCGCCTCATTATCAGGGTCTAGCAAAATGTGTTCTTGCTGGATATGTCTCGATGAACAATTGGCATAGACACATCTGGGTGCTATAGGATACCCATGAGCCACACCTTTAATGATGTTCACCCTTTTAATCCAATCCCATTTCCTAGCTTCTTCATCGTTGCACAGATTGAAAACCAACTACCCCCCTTTCAAGGTACTCGTAAACCAAAACGAGTGGCGTGCATGTGAACAGAAACCATAAAGTTTGACAATGTTCACTGGCGTATCTCAGTTACTGCCCTTATCTCGTAAGAATTCTTCTCTTCCACACACCATCACATGCATGTGGAGTTTCTTGACAGCTACCAAGTCGCTGAGGGCAGCTTTGCTTTGTATACACTTCCAACTGCCCCCTCCCCATTGCAATATGCGCTTCAAATCCTCAGTCCCTCTATATAATTTCTTCATACAATACTTTTTCCATCAAAGATTGATATTGCACGCAATTCGAATGTCTTTTGGGTGAATGTCACTTTGTTCTTCTTGTTGGCTTTCCTTTTTTCTTCGCGAAGTGATAAAATTCATAGAAAGTAAGCAAAATGCTCCCAACACAGGAAGCATGATCAAGCAGTACCAACTTTGAAACCATTTTTTGAGTTATGCTTCTTTTCAACAGGACTATTATTGCAGAGGTGTATAGACCGTACATTGCCACACAAAGCTTTGTTCCCTTTGCAATGCTTCTAGGGGAGCCTCTTGAAATGCTTTGTTGTGTGGATAGGACCCCTTAATTGATTGTATGATGTGGTCGACAAACTCCAAGCCACAAAGTTCCACAAAATTTCTCTGGAATAACACCAGAGAAGTTATTGTGGGAAAGATTAGTGTCACCAAGCTACCCAACTTGCTAAATTCAGTTGGTATCCCTTTCAAATCTAGCACGGACAGCTGCACTAACCTACCCAACTTAGTTGGGGTTCCATGGCTCAACTTGTTGTAGCTCAAATTCATGTGGTGCATTTTCACAAAATTCCCTAGGCTACTTGGAATTGATTGGCTCAGTTTGTTCGTGGACAGGTCAAGATACTCAAGGTCAGTCAGTGATCCAAGTTCTTGAGGTATACCACCAGAAAGCTGATTGTTATTCAGTATAAGCTTCACCAAAGAAGTCAGCCTTCCAAATTCCATAGGGATCTTCCCAACTAAATGATTTTGAAGAAAGATTAAGCAAATGCAGTTGAGTCAAGTTTCCCAATCTCAGGTGGTATGGAGCCAGTAATATTGTTCCCTGCAATCTCAAGGTTTGTTAGCTGCAGAGACCTACCCCATTTATGTGAAAGTTCACCATAAAATCTATTGTTGCTTAGATTTATGTAATCCAAGTTTGGATACACCCCAAAATCTTCAGATATATTTCCAGTGAGTTGGTTTCCATTGAGGCGGACTCTGTATAAGGTTGTGCAGTTTCTCAAGCTTTCGGGGATTCGACCTATGAGACGATTGCCATTTGCAGTGAAATTTGCAAGCAATGCACCTCGGCAGAGGTTCTGTGGCAAATGACCAGTGAAGTTGTTTCTGGCAAGTCTCAGCACAACCAAATTCATGAGATTTTCTATCACTTGAGGAATGGAACCTGAGAGTTGGCTATCGCGTAGTTGTATAAATTGTAATTTGCTCAAATTACCAATTGACTTGGGAAGAGGACCACTGAGTCTATTCTCCATGAGATTTAGAACAACAAGAGACTTAAGCTGGCCTATTTCTTGAGGAACTGAGCCATTTAGCTTGTTTGTATATAGGTACAGGTTCTGAAGATTTGTTAGGAAACCAATTTCTGGTGGGATTTTTCCTGACAATTTATTATGTGAGAGATCAAGATAGATGAGTTTGGAGAGGGAGCTGTTTTGAGGTGGGATGGCGCCATATATCTTATTCCTGCTAAGATCAATATGTTCAACATTGGGAAAGGACAAGAATGAAAATTCATGCAGTGTGCCGAGAGGCGGCTAGTCTTATAAATAAAGAAAAAAATGATCACATGTTGCTTCAAATTCGGGTAGAAAAGTCCGAATTGGATTTGAAAAAAAGAGAGAATACAAATTCCCAACAGTATTGTGTGTTATGGAAAGCATAAAAACATTAAAGTAGTTTTCGTTTTTGCCCGTGAAGTGGAGTTTGCCAAAATTGAAGTGTTCAACCTCCCACAATTAGGCCACTTTCATTTACACCTTCCCTAATGCACCCAAATGAATCAAATTGGTTCTGATTGGTCAGTCCATGTGTGGTCCGTTTTATATAAATTTGATAACCACCCAATTAAAGTGTATACACAAGAGTAACCAAAACTCAATAGAGAAATATGGCGGATCTGTTCATCAAACAATCAAAGCAATATGCGAAGGCTCGGCCAGATTACCCAAAGAGATCTTTGATTACATTGCCTCCAAGACCAATTGCCACGACCTCGCATGGGACGTCGGCACCGGTAACGGCCAGGCTGCCGGTCCGTAAGTTTCTCTTATTTTCCAAGATTTTTCTTTCATTCCTCGTGAAGTTTCTATTCATTTCCAAGATTTTTGTTTCATTCCTTCCTTGTGTTTAAGTTTTCAAAGTCAGAGCCCTTCGTACATGAGAAAAATGTAGTTTAGAAAAACCCAGAATCCACATGAGAAAAAGAAAAGGTGTCGTTTTCGTGGAGGTAGCATGGGCCAGCCTATATGATAAGATGCCTGTTTGGGCGGGCCTGAGTCCGTATTGAATATTTCCAAATGGTTTAACATTTGAGTGACCCTATTTGCACTTCAAAACTGTCTTTAGACACCCATGACATCAAATTATTTTTGCAGGCATTTCTATCCTCTTCACAAACCCGTAAGATAAATTACACAAACACTTCTAGAGGTTTTAAATTGATTTCATAAAATATGTTTCGTTAATTTTTTCGTCGAAAAATTGATGATTCATAAATAAATAAAAACTTCATCAAAAGATAAATTTACCCCCAATGATTGAACCTTGCGGTGCATATGCAACATATTCTCTTAGGTTTTGGATAACTTTTTTATTTATGACATAAACAATTTTTAGATGGAAAATTAATGGATGAGTTATGTGAAAATAGTTTCAAAGTTTTGTGAAAACACCAAGAAAATCTTCAGAAATGCAAGTGTTAGTTAAAGAAGCACTAACCTAAATAAAAAGCATCTATTTTAAAAACATAAGAAATTAAAAGGTCTTAAACATAGCCAAATAATTGTTAAGTTATTCCATAGAATAAGTTGTGTGTGTTCCAAAGTGCATTCATTCAACTAATTAAATTTCAGCTAGCTGGGATCTACAAGAATGTCATAGCCACAGATACAAGCCAAAACAACTTGAGCTTGCAATCAAGCTGCCCAACATTCGCTATGAGCATACCCCTGCAGTTTTGTCTATAGCTGAGATTGAACAAAAATTGGCACCAAAATCAAGCATAGATTTGGTGATCGTTGCTCAGGCTCTGCATTGGTTTGACCTCCCTACTTTCTACCAAGGCGTGAATTGGGTGCTGAAAAAACCCAATGGTGTCATTGCTGCATGGTGCTATACAGTTCCTCGGGTCAACAATGTCGTAGACACCGTCTTTGATCGATTCTATACCGTTGATGTCGACCCTTATTGGGATCCACAGCGTAAATTGGTGGACAACAAGTATAGAAGCATCGATTTTCCGTTTGCGCCAGTGGATGGAGAAGATAACACAGGACCCTTTGAGTTTATGACAGAGAGGTTGATGGACTTGGATGGTTTTTTTACATACATAAGGTCATGGTCTGCATATCAGACAGCAAAGGAGAAGGGTGTTGAGCTTTTGAGTGATGATGTGATTGCGGCATTTAGGGAAGCTTGGAATGATGGTGGAGATGGCAATAAGGCTGTGAAGTTTCCTGTCAATTTGAGGATTGGAAGAGTGGGGAATTAATTAATGCCGGCATCATTTTCTAAAACCTTGAAGATTAAAAAGCACTGTGACTTTCGAATAATTTGTGATGCATGCACATGGTTGGAGAATAATGTGATATTCTTCCTACACTGAGTATCACTTGGTTTTAGAGTACATTTGCCTCAATGCCATCTCAATTAGTCAAGAAAAGCTGTTGTATTTGCTTTGATGCGAAGTGATAGATGAGTTTGGCCTTTGTTAGCAAGTATAGGGCTTATTTGTTGAAATGCCCCTTGTGGTTTGCGTTTTGTCTCAATTTACTCCTTGAATGTTTAATTGATTAAGTGTTCCCTCCTATGCTTTATTTTTGTGTCTCACATTACCATATTCCGTTAGTTTGGTCAAAAAATTGTTAAGTTGCTGATGTGGTATGAGCATTATGGTAATTTTAACCCTTAAAAATTCCGAAAAATAAATAAATATTAAAACATGATTAACACATACCAAAACACAAAATCAAATGACCCGCAAAAACAATTCTAGTATGCATACCAAGCCAAATTTTGTCATTGGGTCTCTCAGTCAATTATGTAATCTGATCTCACGATGTGGCATCTTTTCTTAACTATTATACTGGTTCCTAACAATACTACCACTTTGTTGAACTCGTGACTCAAAAAGAGTCTTACAGCATAATAATCAAAGAGGGTTCAGCCATTGCTCCATTCCCGTAATCCCCACAAGCCAGCCTCCTTGTGACAGGAGGGATGAGTGACACTCCAAGTTCACCAGTTGACATGATATGTCGCTCCATGAAGCGATTCTTCCACATCAAGGTGTTCATGCTGGTGCAACAAAGAAAGGCTTGCTGTAGTAGTCCCATGCTCGTACAACACAGGTGAGTAGATTGTCACACAATCTCCCAGCAATCTACCCTAAAAACACGGATGAATTTGAGACAATGCATCTCTTAAGAACATAATTAATAGGATGGATTCACATGCCTAAAGAACCAAAAGAAGAGGCAGCCATGACAGAACGGATGATCTAGGTAACAGACAAATCGTTCAGCCACTCTGTTCACCACACCATAAACTCACTCAAGAAAAGCAGATCCATTTATGTTCTTTACATGACAACCATTCAGCCTGTTTGAGTACATCGAGGGCCAGTTTTGAGCTACTTGTAAGAGATTTAAATCTTTAATCTACAGAGACAGCCTCTAACTTTTTCCAAGACAAGAAACAATTCAATGGTGAAAAATAAAATACAAAAAAACATTTATCTCCTAAAAAATTTAACCTAGCTAAACATACAAACCGTACGAAAGAAGCACCTGCATACGTTACACTAGCACCATTAAATTGAAAGAACAAAAATGGGTTCTGCAAATCTCTAAGTTCACATGTCTTCCAAACAAGAAGGTGGCAATCTCAGATAACCAATTGAATAAAGACATACAAGAAAACTACTTAGCTGGCTGATTAGAAAAGCCCTACTATGCCAATGAACATTGTTTATATGCACCAGCCCGACTGGTGAAGCTGATCATTCATGGTGATCTTGAATGATCACAACGAAAAATAAAGGGACTTTCTTGCTGCAGGGAAGCCCCTGTCTGAGACTTTATTTTCTTTCTCACTGACTTATATCAAACACCTTTGCTACATTTATACGACAATGCTCTCCCTTTCCCACCCAATCCCAAAAACTAACTAACAGAAAACACTAAACAATCTCAAGCATCAATCGCTGTTTAATTCGTATTTAATCGCATGGAATTTAGCACTAAATCGAAACAAAGTTCCAACATTTGACTGCGAAACCCTTACTCACTTGGAGTGGTGAGTTCCCTGCGTGCGATTTGAGTCGTTCTAGGGGTTTTGCACTGAAACTCAACGAGTCAGGTGAGTTTCAGGGCTCGAAACGCACCCGTCTTGACCTTCCGTTGAAGGGAACCGGTCACAATTACAAATCTTGTTTCTGCAGAGAGTGGCTTCAAATTCAAAAAAAGTCCCAGACTTTCCGAAATTCCCAGGAGGTAAAGCGACGTCGTCTTCTGTTTCAGCTATAAGCACGCAGTTTGAGCTTCTTGGGCTTGTTTCTTTTTCCCTCTGTTCCCGCTACACAACTGGGTCTTACCCGCTTGGTTTTGTTGACTCTCTGCTTCTAGAGTCTAGACTATATTTTATGAAGACTGTCCAAAATAAAATAGCCCATTCTAAAACAAAGCCCATTTTTGAACCCTTGCACAATATTTTCGGGCTAAGTTGCTCCTATTTGATAGCTACTTTTTTTTTTTATGTGGTTACATCGGAGGAAAGAAAACCTACTGGTTCGATCCTAGTGCCATGGGGGAGGGGAATCCACCACCACTGTGGTGGGAACCCATTGGCATAGTCACTTATTTTTGTGTGTAAGCTAACCAACACCTTCTTAACATTTTCTTAAGTACTTCCTTCTAGTATACTTCCTTATTCTTGGGATATGGAGATCATCGTCTAAAATATCGATAATATCGAGGATATTATTGTTTTTTCGGGTCACGAATATTTCGGAACATATCCATACACATATCGTATAAATATCGATAATAATATTAGAAAATATCGATGTCGATAATTTCGCTCACACTTCAGCAATATTTTGTCCAAATATCGCTATAAATATCGTTATAATATCGAAAATATCGATGTAATGGAAAAAAAAACACAAAGGGGATTCAAACCCTTGTCATTTCACTCCTCCAATGTCTTAACCACCATGTTGCTTATGTTTTTGTGATAACATGTTTAAATATGTATATGTATATTGTTTTGTTTTGAACAATTACATGCAAAACTAATGTGGTAATTTATCATTTGATGATTGCTCTTCACAATACACTTACTCTACACATAGAGATGATGAAGATAGTGAAAATTTTGAACATTATAAGAACTCTATGTGGTACCAAGTCACTCATATATCTTACCATGCAATGTATAAAGTGTGAAATATTGTAGTAAATCATTATATGTAAATGATCATGGAGTGTTTAATCTTCTTTCATTAATTACTATATATTTTCTATACTCACAGTGTTTGTTGGCTGGCTAAATAATCAACTTAAATTAGTTAACCCATCATGCAATGCATTTCATTCCATTTTTGTGTGATAAACTAATAGATAATTGACTGAATAAACATCCTCCAAAGTTTCAATAAAAATTTCCAAGTTTTTCGTACAATTTCTATGGTTTTTATTCAAATTTTATCAATATCGATAATATTCCGAAATTTCCATCGAAATTTCCGTGTTTTTGGACTACCGATATTTCCGATAACATCGATATTTTAGACCTTGATAGAGACTAATCTAATCGTTCTCATTTTGTTTCACCAAAAATTGTAATATTTTTTCTTTAGAGTTATTATTAATATTCCTTTTGTACTTCTGTCTTTAATTATAGCTTACCAGAGCTAATTAGAGGGAATTACCAATAACAAGTGTTCTATAGGGTTTACTGGGTATTTCATTTTTGGACTTTGGTTGCTATTTTTTAATTATTATTGTTTTTTAAAATTTTCCAGGTTGTTCCCAAGACGGGAGATGACAACCGTTGTTTCCAACATGATCCTGCTAAGCCATATAGGACCTGATTTCACGTATGAGTTTGCAGTGTTCTTGAAATTTCTTCGGGAATAGTGTTCGAAAAGGGGGATCCTGACTAATGATTTAGCTTCTGCTCTAAATTGGAAATTTATTGCCTTGTGTATTTTGGTTTAATTCTTATGGGGATCCTGTTTAGTGGGACTAAATTTTATTTCTTGGAATATCCTTTGTGTCTTTTCTTGGTTTTTTTTTATATGTATGCCCTCAAAATTAATGATGCATCTTTCCTTGTAGTTAGTTTCTTATTTTCATTGGTTGGTACACGAAAATGCTCTAAATTGGTATTTTTGGCTCGTGTATCTTGGTCTAATTCTTACAGGTTGTAGCGGACTATGAACTTTTGGCTTCTTGTAAGAACGCTTGCCTTTTCTCTTTTTACATTTTGTGTTCATATCTAAAAAATGAGAGATGGTTTTGTGTGTTTTCAGGCTCTGTTGCGAGGTTTATTCTTTACAGAGGAGAGGAGTACTGATCTCGAGAGGGGGTTTGATGCATCTTTACTTACGAGTTAGTTTCTTTTTTTCATTGGTTGTATGAGTTTGCAGTTTTGGGCTTAGATTTGAGGTCATCATTGTTCAGGTCAGAAACTCTGTGTCTTTTGGCCAGGCAGATTTAAGCAGTGTTTTGGTTTTATATGATAGATTTGCTGTTGCTTCATGGAATGTGACTAGATTTATGGTTTGTAACTTGTGAGGTTTATTCTATACCATTGATGTCAATCTTTATTGTGATCCAGCGAGTAAATTGGCGGACAACAAGTATTGAACCATCGGTTTTCCATTTGAGCCAGCGAATGGAGAAGTGAACACAAAGACCATTTGAGTTTTTGACAGAGAGGGTGATGGATTTGGATGGTCTTTTCACATACATAGCTGGCATTATTTTTGAAAAGCCTCGAAGATGGAAAAGTATTGTAACTTTGAAATAATTTGTGGGCAAATGCATGGACATGGTTGGAGAATTAATTAACTGATAAATGAAAGAAATAACTATATCTCAAAAGAGAAAAGAAAATGAATAAAATAAATAAATAAAAACCAATAAAATAGTGACCGTTGAGTTGATTGAAATTATTAGATTCCTTCTCGAGCGTAGTGAACTAAAGATGAACTCCATCCAGTCACTTCACTTCGTAGTGAACTAAGAACAGAGCAGATTTTTTACATCCTATAGAAAGCTTTCCCATAAAACTCAACCAAGCTTTAGAGTTAATTCAGACATGGCTTCTCTTCATGACAGTCCAGCTTCCATACCCCATTTCTTAAGGATCATTCTAGATAAGACTTCTAAAAAGACCAGAATTGTAAGCACCTCTCTCTCTCTCTCTCTCTCTCTCTCTCTCTCTCTCTCTATTACTATGCTTAGAATGTTTTCTCTTAACATGTTCTGTTCTGCAGAAAATTCCAATGAAGTTTTCGACGAGATATGGAGAGAATTTATCAAGTCCAGTACATCTTAAGCTTCCAAGTGGCTTAGAAATGGAAATAGAACTCAGAAGATCCAACGATGGTTGGGTTTGGTTTGACAAGGGTTGGCCAGAGTTCTCAAAGTTGTGCTCTCTTGACTATGGTAATTCGCTAGTCTTTGGATATGAAGGGAACTCCAACTTCTCTGTGTTTATATTTGATAAAACTGCTACAGAAATTGAATATCCTAAGCCCGAGATGGAAGAAACTGATTCTGATTCTGAAGAAGATGATGAGACAGGCCATGCCAGAGGAGAAATCATAAGTACGTAATGTTATATTTGGTCTTGTGTTGTTTACCTATGTTGTGTTATCTACCAAAAAAATTAAGATACAACCTTATTTTAACAGGAGAGAATGATATGCCAACAAAGAAAGATTTTGGAGGCTCATCTAGCAGTCGAATTTTCCTTGGGAGGATGCATCCATTGACTAAAGGTGAAAAAGCTCTGGCTCTTGAGAGAGCCAATGCTTTCGAATCTGAATATCCTTATTTCTTGGTTGCCATTCAACCGGTTTATATCCACCGAGGCTACCTGGTGAGCTTTCCATATAACACTCTGCTAACTCCTATTTCTAGATGTCTGTGTGAGAAAAGATTAAGCAAAGACACTTACCTCTAAAAGCGCAAAATCATAACTAGACTCTCTTAAAATAAAAATAAAAAATTTCTTATAATATATATATATATATATTTTTTTTTTCCTAATTTCCTTTTTGCTTTAGCATTTGCCATCCGAATTTGCAAGGAGACATCTTGTCAAGCAGCGTGCACGTAACATAATCCTTAAGATTTTAGATGGAAGAACTTGGGTTGTCGAATTCAAGTATGAAACTTCAATAACTCGATTCCAGCGTGGCTGGTTGGCATTTGCAAGGGACAATAATTTGAAAGTCGGTGATGTATGTGTTTTTGTATTGATTGACTGCAATGAACGTTTATTTGAAGTATTCTTTTATCGCACCAACAATGCTGAAGATTGCCCCTTGTCACCAGGTAAATCTGTTCATTTGTGAATGTATGCTCATTATGTCTGCATTGTAACTTACACAGATTCTGTTCTTTTTTCTGTAATTTTTGGGGAACACAGGCCATGGTGGAGTAGCAATTGATCGAGTTGAGAAAAGGAGAAACCCCATGATTAAAGTTGAAACTGATTGCACCACAAATTATGAAAATGGTGTGTCTTGCTCTCTTGATCCTTCTCTTGAAATTGGTTAGTCCACCAGAATGAGAAATTCCCAAAATTAAGGTTAAGGAATTCAGATTATATTTTGTTTCTTGTACTGTAGGCAAGTACAAAAGGTTGAAGACTGGTGGGCAGGTTACTCAAAGGCCTTTAAATTCATCTTCAAGGTCTCTTGAAGCTGCTAACAGGTTCACCCCAAAGAATCCATCCTTCAGAGCCACTTTGGGGTCAACACCCCTGATATTGGTAGGTTCTACATACTTATACAACTTTGCTTCAAAATAAATACTAGAAGTAAGCTCTATATATATATATATATATATGTTGTCTATGTACTAGTTCTAAATCACCTCCATTAATTATTTACTAATGCTCACTAGGTTTGTATAGAGTTTCATTTCCATATATCCATCTTATGCAGCATGTACCAGTTACATTTGCCCGGAGTTTCGTCAAAAAGAGGAAGCAAACCGTGAATCTTCAGGTCAGAGAGAGATCGTGGCCTGTGAATTTGATTGGTCATACTAAAGAATCAGGAGCTAAACTTTGTGGTGGCTGGCGTGAATTTGTGACGGAAAATTGTTTGATGGAAGGAGATGTTTGTATATTTGAGCTCATTGAGAGAAATGACATTGTACTGAAAGTTCACATTTTCAGATGTTGATTAGGCAAAGTTATGTCATTTAAGAGGGATGCAGAGAGCTCAGTTATCACATTTTGCTATGTAAAATGGACCACTATTTGCTGTAGTTAAAGACGATATCTTGATACTGGGAGATCACTTTGTAATTTTAATGGTGTTAAACAAGTTTCCCAGGCAGACATGTATTCAGACAGATCCCTTTCTTGCCTTCCTTGGTTAGTATCAGCCTGTCCAATTCTCTCTCTGTTACCAAATTGCACAAATTTCACTTCAGAATTCTTAATTAAACAAAGATTTGACATCTTCATCTTCACGGCCTAGTAGCCTCTTACCTGATCAAAGGAATGGCATGTGAGATCTGAAAATAGGCCATCACTGCCATGCCAATTAGTATGAGATGTGCAATCACCAAAATAGCATTCTTCCTAACAGGAATAGAACTGCCAAATCTTGCAAAATGAAAATCTTCAATATTAATGTTTCTAAACATCTGATGAGACAGGATTAGTTCAACATTTTCCAGATATTTTCAACAAGAATTGCAAGAAAAACGTATACTAAGGGCCCGTCTGATAACTCTATTAACTCTTTGTTAGCAATGCATTGCCTGAACAAATATCATAAATATATTTTGGGCCAGGACTGCCTGATTAGAAGACTCAGAATTAGAGTAGCTTGTTCAGTGAAATCACGTAGAGGGAGAATGGATATTAGCCATGTTGACAAGGAATTGCAGCAAGTCAGAGACAATCTTATTGGATCTGCATTGAACTAAGGCCAATGCAGCAGGTAATTAGACTTTGTACTGAACAAATTATTGAATTTCTCAATTCTTTTGTCAAAGACTCTGGTGTTTACATAGAAATAAAATTTTGGGACATACAGACAGATTTGTAACTGAATATATACATACAAAGATCCCTTTATTTAGTTTATTTTATGCAGTGACGTAGCAAGAGCAAGGCAATGTGCAAAGAAATAGAAGAAAAGAAAAGGAAACATAATGTGAATCAGAATATCTTCTGCCATTATTGAATAGAATGTACAGAAGAAACGAAGGAAAAAAATGGAGACAGGTCGGTTAAGGTTCCTGCTCTGATACCATGTGGAAAATAATAGGGTGAATATGTTTTCTCATTATGTTTTGTTTACAATATTACACAGGTATATATGTATAAGCTGGGGAAGGCTAATATCCAATGGCCAGGTTAAGATCCATTGGCCAGTCTAAGAGTTGTTGGCCAACACACCACAACCTTAACTTTAACCCCTAATTATAGGAAAACTCTAATTACAAGTAACACGATCAAATCCCCTAAATTAAGGACGTGTAAATCAATCACAGCTAGCAGCCACCAAGCTAATCACAGCCTTCAGCTACCAATACTTCCAATACAAGACTTCCATTTTCCATGTACTTGAAAACTAGACTTTTGAACTCATTACCCAGATTATCGATGCTTGAGCAGGCAGTTAGGATCTTTAGAAGATTACGATGCCTTATACTTCTTAAAGCTTTGCGTTCATCAATGAAACTCTTGAACGCTCCTTGTTGAAGGTTTAATACCTTAACAGAAACTATTGTTCCATCTCTAGGGATTACTCCTTTGTAAAGAGAACCAAAACTTCCTGAACCACAGAGAACCCATTAGTCAATTCAAGGAGTTCAGAGTAAGAGACACCTGATTTCCAATCCTTATAAGAACGTGAAAGTTACTGGTCCACCTCGTGACATTTTCACCTTTGAATATATAGCAATGGAACATGACATAGCAATTATGAATGCAAAAGAACAAGATATAAGGATGACTAATTTTTGGGAAAATGGTCTTTGAGATGAATGGGGCTTTACCTTGGGGCATGCAGGTAGAAGCAATTATGAGATGCCACCACAAAGCCTAACATTTCCAAAAATTGAGACACCACTTGCATTTGTATAAATCCCTTCTCTAGGCAATTCACCCTTGAAATCATTATGAGAAAGATTGAGAAGCTTACGAACTCGAAATTTGCCAAGAAATTCAGGAAGCTGCCTGGATAATTTGTTGCGGGAAAGATCTATTTCTTTCTTCCAAGCCTCTTAAGTCTTTAAGAGACTGATGAATTTTTCCATCAAATTGATTACTTTCCAAATGTAAGCGTACCAAACTAGTACATATGCCATGGGTCATGGGTGTATCACCTGATAACTTGTTTCTGATACATCTAGCTCCATGAGATTTGCCAAATCACCCACTTCATATGGTAGTGAACCAATCTAAGAATTGTTAAACATTGTCAAAGAAATTGAAAGAGATGAGATCCCAACAAGTTCTTTAAGTATGGTTCCAGTTAGATTATTAATTGAAAAGTTAAGTACCTGTAGATTTTGGCAGTTTCCAAGAGTTGAAGTTATACTTCCTTCTAACCTGTTATTCTCCATGGAGAGCAGTGTTAACAAAGTAAAGTTACCCAGGGAGGATGGGATTGGCCCAGAAAATTTGTTATCATTCAATCAAATACAGTATCCCTAACTAATGAAGCTTCCCAATTCCATGAGGGATACTACCACCAAATTGGTTACCTTCCACCTCTTAACAAGGTCAAGTCTACCACGTTATAGTTTGTGTACACTAACTTTTCTCTTTTCAAATGACAAGTTCACATGTACATAGATAGGCTTACATTGCAGTAGATCATGTGCTAAGCAGAGATAAAATATTACATAAAAATATTTTCTATTACATTGCAATCATCATCATCATCATCTTCTTCTTCTTGTTAAATAATTGAGATATGAGCCCCTGACTGCATTCATTTTGTTGATGACAACATCCATAAGCATCCGCTCTGTCGGTGATATGGCAGAGCATGAGATCCCTATTTGCATCACTGAAGCCACGCATTCCTCCAATCTTTTTACTTTGTCTGCACCGAGATCCTTATATTTCCCTACGGGTCTTTCTTGTATGTCATGTTCTTCATCATCCTCCTCGTCATCTGTTTCAAGCAGCAATGAAGGCTCAACTATGTCCCTGGCATGGTCAGGCAAAGCCATGGCTGTGAATTGGTGAATGCTTAAACCATCTTTGAACATGTCATCGGTTGGTCTTTTTCCTGTGAACATTTCTAGCAACAGTATCCCATAGCTGTAAATATCTCCCATTATGGAAACTTGGCTTCCCATGCCATACTCTGCATGTCAATGCATACATTAGGATGCTGTAGTTGATGGACCTTTAGAATTTATCTTATATATTTCAAAATTTTCTGATACTTCTTGTCCAGTAAAAAAAGAGTCAGCAATCTTTTTTATCAAAAAGTTATTAGGAAGTGAGGATTTTAAATTTATACCTGGAGGAATGTAGCCTATGGAACCCTTTAGCCCAACTGACATGGTTTGAATTTTGGTGGGATCATTTGATGCTTGTAAGAGGAACCTTGCTAAACCAAAGTCACCAACATGAGCTACCATATCTTCGTCAAGAAGAACATTGCTTGGCTTTAGATCACAATGAACAATGGCCGTTTCACAGTGGTGGTGCAGATAATCTAGTGCAGAAGCAACATCAATTGCGATATTGAGTCTTTGGATAGGGCTTAATCTCTTAGGCTGAGATTGCTCATCATCTCTTGGATGAAGCCACTGGTCTAGACTTCCATTTTCCATGAACTCCAAAACTAGACTTTTGAAGTCATTGCCCTGATTATCAATACTGGAGCAGACAGTGACAATCTTGAGAAGATTACGGTGCCTTATACTTCTTAACGCTTTGCATTCACCAATGAAACTCTTGGAAGCTCCTTCTTGTTGAAGGTTTAACACCTTAACAGCAACTACCGTTCCATCACTAGGCAGTACTCCTTTGTAAACAGAACCGAAACTTCCCGAGCCAATCAGATTGTCTACAGAGAACCCATCAGTTGCTTGAACGAGTTGAGAGTAAGAAACACCTGATTTCCAATCCGTATAAGAATGCCAAGTGATTTGTCTATCTCTTGACTTTTTCACATATGAACAAGCAGCAAAGGAGCATGACAGAGCAATTAAAAATGCTAGTGCACAAGTTATAGGGATGAATACTTTTGGGGCAAGTAATCCTCGAGGTGAATGGCGCTTTTTGCTAGAGCATGCAGGAAGAAGGAATTCTGGAAATCCACCACATAGCCTATTATTTCCAAGGATTGAGACACCACTTGCATTTGAAAAGATCCCTTCTCTAGGCAATTCACCCTCAAAATTGTTATGAGAAATATTGAGATGCTTAAGAGATCCAAGATTTCCTAGAAACTTGGGAATTTTCCCTGATAAGTTATTACGCGAAATGTCTATTTCTTCCAAGCCTCTTAACTTTTCTAATGTTAGGGGAATTGATCCTTCAAGTTTATTACCTTGCAAATGAAGACGCTCCAAACTAATACAACTGCCGAGGGTTCCTGGGATTTCACCTGATAACTTGTTTTCCGAAATATCTAACTCCCCAATATTTTTCAGATCACCCACTTCAGATGGTAGTGAACCAGTCAAAAAATTGTTAGATATGGATAAAGAAATTGAAAGGGATGAAAGCCCAATAACCTCTTTAGGAATGGTGCCATTTAGATTGTTACTTGAAAGGTTAAGTATCTGTAGAGTTTTGCAGTTCCCGAAACTTGGTGGTATACTTCCCCCAAAGTTATTCTCTTCCATGAAGAGCCTTGTCAATGAAGTCAAGTTACCTAGGGAGGATGGAACTGGCCCAGAAAATTGGTTAACATTCAACCATAAACCCTGAAACTTCGGAAGTTTCCCGATTACATCAGGGACACTACCACCCAAATAGTTACCTTCTAGTCCAAGACTGATCAAGTTTATAAGATTTCCAATGCCGTTAGGGATGCTTCCATGTATCAAATTGGTCCCCAAAGTAAGCTTTTTTAGTTGGGTAAAAGGTTGGCGATTGATGCTGGCAATTCTCCTCCAAAATGATTACCCCTAAGACCCAACACCTCAAGACTAGTACAATTAGCTAGGAAACTGAGAAAATTCAGGTCACCAGTTTTCCCACTTCCTAGTCTATTTTGATCAAAGTTGAGTCTAACTAAGCTCTGCAAAGTTGCAAGATTTTCAGCGGGGATTGGCCCGGTGAGACCATTTTCTGGAAAATCAAGCACTTGAAGTCTCGAAGCATTGGACAATGACAGAGGAACAGTTCCGGTGAACTTGTTGACCCCACCGGCAAATACTTCAAGATTAGGAAGAGTAATTCCCACATTAGGTGGTAGCTCTCCATGCAGCTGGTTTTTAGCAACGGTGAAGTAGAATATGGATGAAATATTATAGAGTGAAGGAGGGATCATACCAGACAGATTATTATCCCAGAGTATAAATCTTCTCAAGTTTGTTAGACGCCCAAGTTCACTGGGTATGCTTCCTTGAAAATTGTTGACAGCAAGCACAAAATTTTCCAAAGATGAAAAGTTTCCTAGCCAATGTGGGATAGTTCCGGTGAGATTGTTAATACCAAGACCTAGACCAACTAAATTCAACAATGAACTGAGTTGGTTAGGAATTGACCCAAAAAGCTTATTGGAACTAAGAGCGAGTACGCTTAGTTGCATACAGTGAGATATATTAGATGGAATTTTCCCACCAAAGGAATTGAAAGACAGGTTGAGATGTTGCAGGCTCAGTAGGCGACCGATTTGTTGAGGAATTTCACCATGAAAGCTGTTGTTCATCAGGTTGATTCCAGTAAGATAAGTAAGATTTCCCAAAGAAGGAGATAAGGAGCCTACCAATTTTTGAGCTTCCAGGTTCAAAACCATGACCCTTTTCGTTGCAGGGTTGCACGTAACGCCTAGCCAACTGCAGAGATCAATGGAATCGTTCCATGAGCTCATGATACGGAGAGGATCTTGAGTTATTCTTTTCTTGAAGTCTAGCAATGCCAGGCGATCAGATTCATTTCCAGAAGTGGATAGTGTTGCAGATTGCAGACATGTGGTCCACCATAAAAAAAGGAAAAATCTGAACAAAATCAGGCTAGAATGAGTTTGTGAGTGTTCCATCTTGTTCTGAATGCAAAATTTATGCATGGAGAAAATCAGAAACCAAGTCTCATATAGATGAAAGTATAAAAAGAAGAAATCTTTCTATCTATCTATAGAGCCAAAGGGTTTGTTGCAGTGTTGAAAAATAATTATGGATGGCCCCAGTGTTGAAAAATAATGCACATTTGGTGGAGATTTTTACAAGCTAGGCAGAATTTTCTAGGATAATTTTTACAAGCTAACACTAGTCACCAACTTAATTGAAGCTATTAGAAAGTTCTAGTTGAAGCTACAATATGTGGCTGGAATTACAAGTTACAAGTTACTGTTGGCAGGAATTACTAGTTGAAGCTAGTAGAAAGTACTTCTGTCTTTAATTATAGCTCAACAGAGCTAATTCGAGGGAATTACCATTAACAAGTGTTCTATAGGGTTTACTGGGTATTTCATTTTTGGACTTTTGTTGCTGTTTTTCAATTATTATTATTTTAAAATTTTCCAGGTTATTCCCAAGACGGGAGATGACGACCATTGTTTCCAACATGATCCTGCTACTAAGCTATATATAGGACCTGATTTCAGGTATGAGTTTGCAGTGTTCTTGAAATTTCTTCAGGAATAGTGTTCGTGAAATTTCTTCAGCCATATATATATATATATATATAATTATATATATGTTGTCTATGTACTAGTTCTAAATCACCTCCGTTAATGATTTACTGATACTCACTAGGTTTGTATAGAGTTTCATTTCCATATATCCATCTTATGCAGCATGTACCAATTACATTTGCCTGGAGTTTCGTCAAAAATAGGAAGCAAACCGTGACTCTTCAGGTCAGAGAGAGATCATGGGCTGTGAATTTGATTGGTCATACTAAAGAATCAGGAGCTGAAATTTCTGGTGGCTGGCGTGAATTTGTGACGGAAAATGGTTTGATGGAAGGAGATGTTTGTATATTTGAGCTCATCGAGAGAAATGACATTGTACTGAAAGTTCACATTTTCAGATGTTGATTAGGCAAAGTTATGTCATTTAAAGAGGGATGCAGAGAGCTCAGTTATCACATTTTGCTATGTAAATGGACCACTATTTGCTGTAGGATATCTTGATACTTGGTCACTCTGTAATTTTAATGGTGTTAATTGTTATGTTTTAAATATTTCTGATGTTAGAATCCTGGATTTATTCTAGGTGCAACTTTTACTATATTTTTTGATGCATGGATCATCTTTTAAATTAAGTTTCCTAGGCACATGTATTCAGATCCCTTTGTTGCCTTCCCTGGTTAGTATCAGCCTGTCCAATTCTCTCTCTGTTACCTAATTGCACAAATTTCACTTCAGAATTCTTAATTAAACAAAGATTTGAAATCCTCTCTTCTTCATCTTCTTGTCGTACGCAGCCCAGCAGCCTCTCACCTGATCAAAGGAATAGCATGTGAGATCTGAAAGTAGGCTATCACTGCCATGCCAATTAGTATGAGATATACAATCACCAAAACAGCATTCTTCCTAACAGACAGAACTGCCAAATCTTGCAAAATGAAAATCTTCAATATCTTACCTAATTTCTGTTTCTAAACATCTGGTGAGGTAGGATTGGTTCAACATTTTCCAGATGTTTTCAACAAGACTTACAAGAAAAACGTATACTAAGGGCCCGTCTGAAAACTGCATAACTCTTTGTTAGCAATGCATTGCCTGAACAAATATCATAAATATATTTTGGGGCTTGGGAAAAATGATCTAAATCAGGACTGCCTGATTGGAAGACTCAGAATTAGAGTAGCTTGTTCAGTGAAATCACGTGGAGGGAGAATGTATATTGGCCATGTTGACAAGGAATTGCAGCAAGTCAGAGAAGCATTGCATGTCGATTGGCGTGTTCGAATTTCATCTTTTTGGAAAAGGGCTATGACGCGACGTGATAATTAGCATGGATTCATAGAGCTAGTACATTTTATAGGCTCGTTTCAACGGGTTACATATTTGTTTGGGGTGTCATGTGAATCATGTGAGCTTGTACCCTTTTTTTTTTTTTTTTTTTTTTTTTTTTTTTTTGGGGGTCGTCCAATCAGGTATCTTCTCAATAAGATATCGCATAAGGCCAAGAATTTATTTGTACCCAACCTTGGATTTTTTGGGCCTCAACAAGTATAATAGAAAATAAATAAGGTTAGTACTAGAAGTGGTAGGTACCAACAACGAATTAAATTTCAATATTATCGCTGGCGATAATATCCTTTTTTTTGGGTCCCGAAATTTTTGCAACATTCCATTTATATTTCGTCAATTTATCAATAATATCCTCGATAATATCGCCGAAATATCGGGAACTATATTTTCGTTCAAATTCAATCTGAAAATGGTCAATATATCGCGATATTATCGATAATATTGATAATATCGTGATATGAAACCGAAAAAGACAAGAAAAATGTTGAAAAGCCTCACCTTGCGCGCAGAGGTATTCGAACCCCCTTCCTTTCTCATCAAAGCCAGAGCCTTATCCAACTCAGCTGCAGCTAATTTTGTGTTTATATCATCAACTTGTAATATTTATAAGGTCTTTGAAAATGTCTGCAAGCTAATATTATCTAAGATAAATTTCCATATTAAAAAAATTCCCTAAGAATAAATTTAAGCATATATTTAATGTTATTTATTATTTTATAATGGAGTAGTATTTTGTTGTTGTTATATATTATGAAGTTTTATTATTATTCACTTCGAGTTTTAATATTGTTCATTATATGTGATACTAAGTTTGAATTTTAATAGGAATTCTTTCTATGTAGTACTAAGTTACTCATACATTTTATCTTTGTTTTTTTGGTTAAGCTCATATATTTTATCATATGTATCAAGTGTAATATATTGAAGCACACTATTATAACTAAAAAATTATGGTGTGTTTAATTTTCTTTCATTAATTACTACATATTTTCCAAAGTCACAGTGTTTGTCAGGTCATTATATAATCAACTTAAATCACTCAAACCCACCATGCCATGCATTTCCTTCCAATTTTTTGTGATAAAATAATAGACAATTGACTAAGTAAACATCTTCTAAAGTTTCAATAAAAATTTCCAAGTTTTTCTCATAATTTCCGTGATTTTTATTCAATTTTTATCGATATCGATGTTTTATCGATATTGCCATCGATATATCCGTATTTTTGGACCACCGATATTTCCGAAACTCCCGATATTTTAGACCTTGGGTACCAATGATTAATTATTGAATAAGAGAGAATATAAATAAATAAAAAACGAGGGAAGTAGACATTGGAAGTACAGATCTTTATTGGGAGAGTCTATTGGAAAAGTCCCTGATTGGCTGCTTTAGTGAGTCGTGGATTGCCAACGTGGACAACTTGTATTTTATCATAATGTAATGTAAATTACAGATTGAAGTGCATGCATGAAAAGGGACTGGTTATGGTTACGCACAAATTCAAAGCTGACATGGCTGGTTTCAACTACAAAATCTTTTTTCAAACCCAACACATCCAAGCTGCTATCACAGGAAAAGGCCCTATCAGTTTTGTAGCAACCTTTACCAAATAAATTTCAAAATAACAACCTACTTTCTTTCATAAGAGTGCCCTCCTCACTTCTCTTATATTCATATGTTTAATTAATTATGTATATACTCTTGTTGCTTTCGTGTCTTAAATAAGGTGTTTTTAAATGTATAATGGGAAAAATCAGATTGTAATATATATATACATATATAGATAGATAGTACTACTAGCTGTGATGTGAGAAGAAGAAAAAGACTGAAAAACATGAGCTAGGATGAAGTTATGTATGAAAGCAACAAGACTTAGCAAAGCAGTGTTTATTAAAAAAAAACATGAGCTAGGATGAAGTTATATTATCGAATTTTGACAATAATGTCGTGATATTATCGAAAATGGCCAATTAAAGTGTCTATTTGAAGGAAAATATCGAATCCCGAAATTTTGGCGAAATATTGACGCTAAAATATAAAAAAAACACTGATAAATAGATAGTATACTGCTAAAATATTGGCCCTAGAAAAGTGAAATTATCGTCGAAATTGTCAATATTTAAGAATATGATTATCATGAATACTATTTTGGATGCTGATAGCAAAAATTTGATGTCAAGCAATGAATTTCCAACATTGCCTAAAAGCTCTTAAGGCCTAAACGTATGAATGCCAGTGGTGGTGGTGGGGAGCGCACAAGTTTTGCTCATTTCATCCTATTAATTTTTTACTAAGCGCAGTGTAGAATCCAAAAAATGGAATTGTAATAATTGAAATCTTTAGCCAATTAGATATTTGAGAAAAAAATAGATTACAAATCTTATATATATTAGAATTGAATTTGAATTTTCTTTTAAATTAGAATAAACCCTAAATTCAAAGGAAGATGATGCTCTCACCTTTAACTGATATGAGAGAGAAACCCACAGAAGAAATCGCAGGAGAGGAATAGATGTTGTCGGCGATCAGAAACTGAGACTGAGAAACAAAGAAAATCGAGATGAGAAGAGAGAGCAAAGAGAGAGTAAGCGGAGCAAAGAAGCGACGGGGAAAAAATAGAACAGATAAGAGAGAGAGAAGATGACCTGCGTGCAAGGCTGGAGGCGGTACGGTGGATGGAGGTGGCGCGGTGGCTGATCGAATGAGAGTGAGAGCATCGAAGTAGAGAGAGAGAGAGAGAGAGGAGAGAGAGAGAGAGAGAGAGAGAGAGAGAGGTTTCGGCGGAAGAAGAGAACCTGAGAGAGAGAGAGAGAGAGAGAGAGAGAGGAATGAAAACCTAACCTAACTCGCGCATAGGGCTGATTTGGGTGTAATCTTGTGCTTCCCAACCTATTGTAATCTCTACAAACATCGAATTAAAAACTGCCACATGCATTAAATATAATATCGAATTAAACTTGTGACTGAAATGGCTTTTATTTAATCAATGTACTATCCTCTCCGCAAACGCTTCAGCGCCTATGAGAGGTTTTTTTTCTTAAAATTTTTAAATTTATTTTAGAATTAAAAAGGATAATGGGTAGTTGTGTTTCATAAAAATAGAACCCATTATCTGATTTTTCTTTTTATTTTTATTTTTTTAATATGAAAAAGTGTGAATTTACCATATTATCCTCATTTAATTAATAATTTCAATTCTTAATGTTTGCATTAACTAATGACATTTTCTGGTATTTTGAATATTTTACCATTCTCTACCTTTTGTTTTATATACATAGATTTTAGGAAAAATAGTGCCATTATTGATATCTAGATAATGGATAACTACAATGGCAAATTATACCATACCAAGAAATACCTACCATGATTCACCCCAACGACCCATCATTGTAATTATAAAATATTATTGAATAGTGTAATCCATATGCCTATAGATACAAAGTATCAAGCATGAATGAAATATAATAGAAGAGAAGAAGTTCACGGTTAAGCTTTTGAGAATTATTCTTCTACAATTGCTTTCTATTCCTCTAAATTCTCTCCACAATTCCCAAGTTTATAATACGTTATCAACACGAATATCTCTAAAATACCAACTGAGACATTTGCTGAATTTTCATATTTTTTTTCCTTCAAATTGATCACTCATAAACTTTAACCCACAAATATAAATTCACAACCTCAACTTCTCAAGCATATATAAATTCACAACCTCCTCAACTTCTCAAGCATTCACAAGCTAAAGAAAATTAAAGTTACAATTCCAAGCATTCTAATTAAAGTTTAACTTCTCAAGCATTCACAACCTCAACTTCTCAAGCATTCCAATTCCAAATCCTTTAAAGTTACAAACTAAAAGGAAAATGCAATGCAAAATGAATTAAAGTTACAACCCAAAGGAAAAATCCAATTCAAAGTTAATTAAATTTACAAACTAAAAGGAAAATGCAATGCACCAATGTTACAAACTAAAGTTACAAACTCAAGTGTTGGTGGTGGTGAGTGGATTTGAAGGACCCCATTGTGTTGTTTGAGCACCAATGCTATATACAAAATGCAATTTTTTATTTATTTTAAATATAATCGCGGTTTGCGGTAACCGCAAGTTTTGAAAATCAAATACCGCAACCGCAATTGCGGTTCAGTTCTTCATACCGCAAATGCGGTTCAGTTCTTCATACCGCAAATGCGGTTCGGTTTCCTGCGATTGCGGTTCCATTGCGGTAAATTGTCGGTTGGTTTTTGCGGTTTTTCAGTTTTTCGGTCTAAAATGCCACCCCTAATTGTATTTGCGGGTCATAAGAGAGAAAAAGGATTAAAACATTTAAAACAACCACAGCCGCAAGATCTCATTAAAAGAGATCCAACGACTAACGACTGAGCGCCCCATCCCTCAAATAACCCTATAATATAAATATTCGTTCATAAATTTATAACCCTAGCCTTTCGCGCACGCACACACACGCTCTGATACCTCTCTCTCTCTCTCTCTCTCTCTCTCGCCTCTACCTCTCACCTCTACCTCTCAACAAATAACAATAGGTTTTTCTCGATACCCAGATCGGATTCAAAGGTTGGTTCTTTTCCCTGCGCTTAGTTTGCATTTGAAGGAATTCATTGTCCAATTTTCGTTTATTCTATTGGTTTTTGATTATTTTTTTTGGGTTGTTTTAGATCGGTGGGTTTCTGAACTATTTTTGGGTTCTTAAAGAGAAACAAATAAGCAAGCTTCTCTCTGAAATAGAAAGAAGAAAAAAAAACCGTGTATTTCTGCTTCTTTTTTCAGTATTATTGTTGTGAGTTTGATGATGTGGGTGGGTCCGTGTATAGATTTCTGAATCCAAATGAAAAACTGAATGAAAGTGAAGCATTTGTTATGTACTGTAAGAAATTCTAATTTATTTATGGCGTTGGATTTTTTATATTTTATTTCAGGTTCGAATCGACCTCAAACCCTAAATCCCTAACACTCCAACCGACTATCTTTGTACGTAGATGGAGCGCTTTGGCTCTCTCTCCAACGTCTTCCTCTCACACGGCTCAGTGCAGCTGATGGTGGGCGCCTCTCCAATTTTTTTATTCTTGACATTGGAATTCTCACGTGGTCTGAAGAGAGTCAAAAAGTTGAGAGAGATTAATGAATTACTGGGTGGATTTATTGGAAGGTGGACTTCTTTTGATTTTATTATGTTTTTCTTTCTTTTTCTTAGTTTGTTTGTTTTTGTTAGTGATAATGGAGCTACGGACTGCAGGACGACGGAGTTTCCGCAAAAGTCTTCTGCTTCAAGTACCCATGGATGAAGGTTTAATCTGTTTATTTTAATTTTATTTTATGTGTTTCGTATTTACATCTGGATCATAATTGTTAATGCACGTCAATGTCATAATGCAGACATAGTTTGACATACTAAACCTAGTTCATGTTTAGAATTTTATTAGGAACAAAACCTGCGATATCATTTGTGAGTGATTTTATATCCTTAAGATATTTTGCGCCCGTTTGGGAGTGATTTTATATTCTTAAGATACTCATGTTCCAAAATTTATGATTTGGACCACATGCATGCATATCGATTGGGGTGGAATTGGCAGTGATCCTTGTAGCATATTAGACACGAGATTTATAGATTCTGTCATGGAAGAATGATAGGATTTTGGTTAAATCCTGTTAAGTTGTGAGGTCGAGACTCGACAAAAGTTTCTCTACTTTCATTCTACACCCATTTTGGCATTCACCCAAGAATGTTGTTGTCGCTAAGGTCCAGGTTGCGCAATACGTACTGATTTTCAAATCTTCTCCTAATAAAAGATTTATATGATATATGATGTGTTATACATTTTGTTATTAACATGTACCCAACAATGCTAAGGACATTCGATTGGTCAATTTCTTCAATATATCGACAGCCCCTTGTTAGCCGGCCCTTTATTATTTAGTGTTTGCAGAATTCACATTGTCGAAATCTTCCTCGAGTTAACATGAAAGATCTTCTGGGTGCAATACATGCACATTACATTGTTTCGAAATCTCCTTCGATTTAACGTAAAAGAAGATCTTCCGGCTGCAATAGATGCAAAGTACATTGCTTCTCACCATACTCGTGCAAAATAACCCACATCTTGACCGAGAAAAAAAAGGCATTCGAAAGGTTTAGTATAAAAGAAAATGTACATATGATTTGACTGAATAAAAGATAGAAGATATTTTTGCAGTCCTAAAATACTTAATACAAGTTTTGAGAATTTTTTTACAAACTTCTTGTGAGATCAAGAAGATACTTTATATGAACCATAGTCGTATAAATACAGGCCGGAACAAAACATAGCCATAAATACCAAGCATCCCATGCCATCACCTCCCACACTGGAAGATAATAGCAAAAAATAAGAACACAAGACAATAGCAAAACCACACTGGACAATGACGTAAGAGACTAGCATAAGACTACCACATAGAAAGTTTTACTGCCGTTGTAAACCAATACATAATACATTTGCAAAGAAAATGACACAAAGCCCAAGACTTAATCCGCTGGTATGACGAAATACACAAAAGACCTAGCTTTCGGTAAATAAATGTCAAAACATTCTAGGAAAAAGACTATCTAACTGTATATCTTATGCATATAAAATCAGTAAAACTTCTTATGCGTTACAAAGGACCAACATGATAAAATAGAGAGCTTTTCGGCCGTAACAAAAGCAAAAGGAGATGTATATCTACGCTAACAATCTGAGGAACATAGAAAGATTAAACTAACACATACATCATGGAGAGATGAGGCTCGGGCGATCAGTATTTGAAGCATGAAACTACTCCTCTAGCATCTTCCCTGCACTAGCATCCCTATTCACACACACACAAGTCAAGTCCAACTATGCATGCTAAAAACAAAAGGAAATAAGTGGATGCAGAACAAAACCAGTACAATAACAGTGGGCAAGCAACTTATGTACTGGCAGAACAAAACCAACACAATATCTCGTTGTAGTTATCTTATTTGGTGAAATCAGATATTTTACAAGCAACTTATGTACTAGCATGGCTTGAAGTGAAGAAATTACAGAGGGAGTTACTGAAGGAACCGAGCTGCAGAGGGAGATGGGTTATGGAGTTGTAGAGGGAGAGAGCGAAGACGATAGTTGAGAAATGCAGAAATAGACACGCAATCAAATTAAAGAGAGATAACCAGAAAAAATAAATTAATAAAAAAAGAAGAGAGAGAGGAGTTTTAGAAGTCCCCGTTGTTGCCAATAAAGTAATAAAAGCATAGTTTGTAGATGAGGATAGATCTAAGGGCTTAAGACACATGTAAAACATTGTGTATATATCTAGGACTATTAAGTTAGTTCCAGATACCGGGTGAATTTTCCGGTACATCTTCATTGACAACAACCACCTTACCATTTACCAAAGCAAGTAACAAAAGAATAGGGTGGATGAGGGGCAGGGAGGTGGGCTGATTCAGGTTTGGGTGTTGAATCAGTTGAGAGGGATTTACATGGAATGGGAATGGGTATGAGGCTCGCTAGTTTCTATGGTACAGATTAGTTGGGGGTAGACATAGTACGGTATTTCAGGTCGCAATTCGTCCGAGACTTTAATTCGGGTCCTTGTTAATTATGACAATTTTTATTTTATTTTTTATGTAATAGATACTTTATATTATAAAATCAAAAATAGCATCCATTCCCATGATTATTCATTGAATTCTAACATATCAGTACATAATCAATTTTCCATAGGATTGAATACTTTATATTATAAGCAGCAGGAAATGCGATGCTGAAGTTAGTTAAAATTGCTCATGTAAAAATACAAATGCGTACCATAAATTAAAGTCAGAATTTGGTCATGCAGGGCTTCGGTTTCACATGATTCTAGTAATATTCCTTCTATTACGGTCTGATTGGGAAGAAGCAGTTACCTAGGATTTGGTTAGTTTGATCTTTTCATGTTTGGACTTGTTCTTTAGGGATTCCTCATTAGCTGTCATTGGATGTGCGAAATTGTTCTGGTTTGTGGATGGTGGTTTAGTTTTTGTATTTCTATTGTTAGTCGGTGGATAGCTTCGACTGCATCTTTGTACTGGGTTTGATGTTCGTTAAGACAAGTTGGTATATATATATATATATATATATATATATATATATATAAAGATTTCTACACATACGCACTTCCAAAGAAATGCCACACCATGAGTTACTTTTTTGTCCACACATACCTTAAAACGAGCATGCAGTGTGAGTAAAATATCATTCAATAGTGTGGCTGGCCAAGCTGGATCAGAAAGCTCTGATGCAGTAACAGATTCTAGTTGATCAAACGAATCATGGGGACTTTGCATCCTAGGTAACTGCTCGAACATAAACACACTCACATCCTAGGTAACTGCTTGATGATTTGGATCAGCGCCTTAATTACCATTGCTCGAACATAATCACACTCACATGCCACAGTTGTCCGCACAACTTCCATCAATGAAGCTAACAAACTAGCAATTGTATCCTTGCCACCTAGTCCAGTAGATAAAGAAGAAGTTATTCGGATACCTATGTGAAAAGAAAATGTGGTGGAAAGGGAAAACAAGGAACAGAACAAGATCAAAATCCACTGTACTACTTTCACTCCTTTGAAAGATTCTATGGAAGACATGGAGCAGTAACTAAAAGGTTACAAGAGATCATGTCAAAAGATTAAAAAAGGTAGAATAATTACTTTTGGGATGTGAGGTTTCAGTACTATCCAAATCCTGTGAATCGAGTCTCAGAAAATGTATTGACATGCACTGTTTCATCAATATTATGCCTAGAGAAAATGCAGCAGCCCGACTTTTCCCCATCTCTTGCACAACTCTTGCTGCTGCATGGAGTACTGGCCTAGAGAAACTACGCAAAGAACTCTCCAACCTGAATAAACCACAACACATGGAATCAATAGAATATGATTTAAATCAGTTTAAAAAGAGAGTCATTGACAAACTTTTAAGTTCAACAGACTCCTACATATGAAAAGATGCTCAACCTCTCAACATTATTTCAAATGCTTCTGATACCAAAATAAGAGAGCGAGAAAGATAGACAAACAGACAGACAGGGGGAGAGAGAGAGAGAGAGAGAGAGAGTTGAATAAGTAGGTGGGTAGAACACCAGTTATGCAACAATCTACCATCCAATTATAACCTTGCGATATGGAAAAAGGGATGAAATTGAAATATAAAAGTAAGGTTTAACAGACACCTCTCTGCACTATCGTGTTTCCCCAATATACATAAGATTGCTTCAAAACAGACTCTTTCGCTGGGATCCAGGAGGAGTTGATAAAGCACAGAATTGAACTGAGATCGAATATCAGCTCTCTCTCTCTGAAGACATAACATTTTCAAGAAACAACAAACATAAATCATACAACTTAAAGGGAAACAATACATAAATAAAGAAAGAAAAGTGGAAAATAAGGACATCTTTAAACACTCTTTTGCGACTTTTTTGTACGCGCCTCACGCGCGGGTTTTGGGTTTTCTAACACTCCAATTAAAAAGGATTGGCTAGAAAAGCCCTGTCCCAAACTAAAGGCTCTTTTTCCATTGTAATAATTAGATCCCTTTGTCTTTTCTTCTTACAATAACAAAACAAAACAAAAAAAAAAAAAAAAAAAAAAATGTTAATCAATCAACTTCTATTTTTTCCAATTAATTACAACAAATCCAGATTTCTTTCTTTCTTTTTTTTAACACCCAGAAATCCACCAATCCGCATTGCGGACACAAGAGCTAGGTAGGTAACTACCAACGAGGGGTTACTTGAAATGCTCAAGCCTATGGTTTGCTCCCATGTGGTCTGAGGTTCAAAACCCCCAAAGGCACCCCATCCTCCCAAAGATTGTAGGGTTGGGCCGCAGTTTCAAAGCTGTGTCCTCTTTGCAGATTGTTGGATTTCCGGATATAAGAAAAATATTTCAAAAAAACAGCCAGGTAGGTACCTTTGGGAATTTCTTTCACTTAGCTATGGTTATGCAGAAAATTATGCAAATTGCAGCAGCCATTGACCAGATGATACATGAAATGTTTGCAATAAGTCAAGAAATCAGATGAGCAATGGAACTCAGCCGGTCGTTTGAACAATGTAAGTCAACCATATACAACCCTGTCATTTGAACTAGGAACACAGCCTAAGATTTAAGAAATTTTGCTCTCAATTTGGGCATCATAATTAGAAATATAAAACTTTTTATTTATGAAAATATCAGTACATGCCACATTGAACAAAGAACCCTTCTTAAAAAACAATAACAGAATAAGACAACAAAAATTGGGAAGACTACCTCCAGGCTCTGCATGTTTCCCTGCATAAAGGTAAAACATTGTAAAGCATTAGAAGCATAAAAACTATTAGTCTCATAATTAAATAGCACCATAGGAATGCGAATATTTGAAAGGTTAAAATAATCAAATCACCTAAGGCCATTGCAACTGCATAAGGGTCTTTTGTAGATAACTCAGATAGAATTTCCAAGGCATGCCTTACAGCAATAGGATCAGCAAAATGAAATTCTGAAGGGAAACACAAACTTGTTAGACTTGGAGAATCAATTTCACAATACAAGGGCCAAATTTCTAAAAATACCCCAGTAATCATGAAGTAGCTAAGAAATAAAATCAATGTTGCAAGTTGAAGGATAAGTAAAAACAGATTGAAGGCATAAAAGAGGACATGAGGAAAACAGAAATCATAAATGAAAAAGAACCGTTGGATCGAAACAAAGTTCTTCCACCGAAACTTCAACTCATGCATAGTGAAAATACATATATGACCAAAAAAGAAAACCAAATGGAAATGGTATATATGCCACATGCACCTATATAAGGAAACTGATACAGAGAAATGTTCCAAGCAACAACTTTATGCAATCAAATGGTGACTACTAGAATGAAGGAAAACATACCCTGACAGCACGATATAGAAATGCCGGGTTTCCTGGATCCAACGGAAGTCTCCTCAAAGCCCTTAGGCGGCATATTGCAAGTTAGTCCGGAATGATGAACTGAAGTCGGAAAAAAAAAAAAAAAAATACGAACAGTTATCAGCATAGTTTGAGAATTCATTGACCATAACTAAGGAACCATAAAAATGCAGGTGCATAATAGAAGAATTTTCGAGACAGGAAGAAGAGAGTTCTGGGAAACTTGGCAAGACAGAGAGGTAATAACTTGGCAAGCTGCTCAGGACCAAATGGAACGGTAGCCGAAGCCGACACAAAAGCTTTCTTCCAACCCTCTACTCTCCTCTCCAGCTATTCCACCAACCTGATCCCAGAAGCCCACTATGAAGGACCCACCCCGAATTGCCAAAACCCGAGACGAATCCTGCGGAGACTCGGCTCACACCATGCCGGTTCACTCCTTAAAAACTATGTCCTTTTACCAAAGAGGATTAAGGGCACGAGACTTTCTACGAAATTTCGGCAGAGGCTCCCCGTAAATTGAACATTTCCCCAAAATTCCACCTGCAAGAACACATTTTATAACCAAACCAGCCAGCACGCACAATATAATCTCAGCAATTTACACAAATGGCCTTCCGGCTTCAAATGATCTAGCAGAACTGCCCACCCTGTTTTTAAAATAACTTCATGCATCAAACATGCACATAACACAATTCAAAATCTATTATGCACACTTCGCTCACCTCAGTCCACCAGACAAGTCTCAAGACAACCAAGTTCGGGACCAACCACGAGGTCCGCATCGTACACGATAAAACCACCTAAGTGGTGTCTAGGACGTGGCTGCACCTAGGCGCTATCCCAGGCTTCCTACGTATACCCTACTAGGATAAGCCACACGTAGCTCTTTCCTATCATCCTGGCACCTAATATCAAATAAACCATTCCATCCATATAAATTCATACATTCTAGGGTTTATCCATACAACACACCAAATACAATCACATAGCTCCCCTCATACGACGGGACGCCCAGCCTCGTATGGGTCTGTCTACACGCGCGGTAATCCAAGACGCGTACGACTCAACCACTGGGCCTGGCTACATTCTCACCAGCCCTCACACAATCATATCTCCCTTCATTACGTCGGGACGCAACCGGCCAAGTATCGGGGGGGGTGGGGGTGGGGGTGTTTGTGCGGGTTGTGGCGGTTGTGGCGGGGGGGTTTCTTCACGGGGGTGCGGTTTCTGGTTATGTTTTTTTTTTTCTTTTTTTTTTTTTTTTTCTTAGTGTTTTCTGTTTTGTTTTTTTTTTTTTTTTTTGGTTTGCTTCGTTGTTTGTTTTTTCTTTTTTTGTTGTCTTGCTTTTTTTTTTTTGTTCTTTGTTTGTTTTGGTATTTTTGTTGGTTGTCAAAACGACGGCGCTAATCCAAAACGCGTGCGACCTCACTGGGGGCCTGGCTACATTCTCACCATCCCTCATACAATCATATCCCCTCATACGTCGGGACGCACACCGGCCACGTTGGGGTCTGTCAACACGGGCTAATCCAAAGACGCGTGCGACCTCACTGGGGGCCTGGAACATTCTCACCAGCCCTCACACAATAATCTCCCCTCATACGGCGGGACGCACCCGGCCACGTAGGGGGTCTGTCGACACCGAGGAAGGTAACTAGGGTAGTGCAATATGCCACTGCAAACTAACATTTCATTATAAAATCCATACATAATTCATACATTAAATTCTAATAATCTAAACACCTAACAAAACAACTAGCATCCGATAACCCCCTAATCCCCATAACATCAGGACCTGTCACGAGTCATTCCTCAGGAATGTAAAACTACCATAGGAAGTCACACGGAACAAACAGGTCAAACTAGTGGTCAAACGGACCCCGCCACGACCTCAATTTCCGATCCGAAAGTTCCTATCGGTTTCTACAAGCTCTAGGATGCAAGTCCTGCAAGTTTGGTCCAGATCGGGGGTCTCACGATCGCACACGACTCCCCGTACAGCAAGGTATATAAAATAACACTAGGGTTGGCATTTCCGGAGTATCCGGGACTCCGTTTTATGATCCGTCGAAACTATATGATCCTGGGTAATACATAGATCAAATATTATAACTCAGGACCATCCAACGGGCCCAAACCTAGCGAACCCGGAAACTAAGCGATATGCGATATCCTTTTGGGCCTCTAACGGTATCCAAATTGAGATCCGAGCACAACCACGCGCTCGTGACACGAGAGGATCACAGTGGGACAAAAATGCCCCTTAACTACAGTGCCCACGCGCCGCCACCGCGCCGCCAGCGCGTGTGTGTCCAAAGCGATAACCCATCGCCGGAAAAAAAACAAAAACCACAAATCACGGCTCAAGACTCCTACCATAGGTTAAAACACCTAATTTGGAGTCACTTTTGTTCTTGTACGTACCCCAAAAACTGACCGGAAGTGGCCGGAATCTCCCCTCGAAATCTGGCCGAAATCCAATTCGAAGATAAGACATCCTACGCTCAAAATCGATGCAATCATACCCAACCGTCAGCTAGATCACGGAAAATAGGTGAGAACCCTACCTTGCCCCGAACGGTTGGCCGGACGAGGAGAACGAAGCCGGCGAACGAGTTAAGTTTTGGGCGAAACCGAGCTTTTCTCTTCGATTTTCCGGCGAAATACCGACGGCTGCGGCGGGACCTGGTCAGGTAGGAAAGAGGACGGCGGCCGCGGTCAATTTTGGTACCGGACCCGTGACTTTGGTGGACGGACGAGAGCACAGGACGCGCCAAAACGGGCCGGCTGGTTAAGCCGTCGCGAAAACGAGGGAGAGAGAGGGTTGGACGTTGCGCTGGGGAGAGAGAGAGAGTGGTGAGAGACGGGGCCAATTCCGTCTTTTAAACCAAAATTCCATTTCAAAAATATTTACGATTTTGCCACTGAGGGTCTTTGGACTATCTCTCTCGTTACAACTCCGATTCAAAGCCCACTACATGTCTACGAACTCATTTTTGCCGTGCTCTACGCAACAGTACATCCGGAATTCCAAATTCTTCCGGGTAAGAAAATGACCTAAAATACACCTATCCCACGGGTTAAATTCTTAATTTCACTCAAATTAATTAAAACAGGGGATAAATTGGAGTCGGGGGTGTTACACACTATCTTTGGGCCTGCCTACAACCCACAAAGGAAAACCAGGCGCAGGGCGCATCCCAAATCTTTCATTGCCCGCTCTCTCCTCCATCTTAGGTGTTGATCCCCACAATTGAGCACTTAGCTTCTATAAAATTTTCAGTCCTGCATAGATCGTCCACGTGACGAAAAAATTGGGTGTAGTGTTGTCCTGTCCACCAATTGCGATGAATGTTGACCCTACTCTTTCTACTGACAAACTTCTTCAGAAGTTGCACTTCGCTTGCTCTAAATCCCCATTTTGCTTAGCTCATCTACTACCAAAGTGATGTGAAGGTAATCAGTGGATCTCCTTTGCGCTTACCCCCTGCCAGGGCCAAATTTATCCCTAGGTCTGTTCTAACGATTTCAAACAACCACTTTCCCCCCCCTTCCCCCTCCGACTTCCCCAAAGCCGCCTTTTAAAAAATCTCTAAATATAATCAAATCCCCCCCCCGATCATCAAAATCCCAAAAGGCACCAAGCCCGTGATCATGGGCGTGTCACAAAGTCGACCCTAACACCAGCCCATCTTTCTTCTTCTTCCTCACTCTCTCCACCACGAATTTTTTCAATTAGAACGACACCCGAATCACCTGCCACAGGACAAAAGCTCTTTGCCGACTTTAAGCCAGTAAACTAATACCAAAAGTTGACGAAAAATTTGTGACCCATAATAGTGGCTGGCATGAGGGGTGTGTGTGTAAATGGGGACCTTTACCATACCACACAGCAACAATCAAATGGTGAAGAGTTATAAGTGTAGAACACGAATTTTTGTATAAAAAAAAAAAAAACCGTGAAAAGCTAAAGATAGTACCTTCTGCAAGCTCCCAAACTTAGGAGACAAGTACGACATGTACAAAAGTCAAATAATATATTCTTAATTTTTATAAATTTTTTATTGTACAAACATTGGTTTGCCTATTTGGCACGCCCAGCCCAACACGAAGAGAGCCTAGACAAAGCAAGACAAGACACCAAGTATTTGGGCTTTGCAACCAAAAAGAAAAAACCAAACGCCAACCACGCCCAACCCTATGATTTGTCAGAATCAATACAACAAAGGAGGCCCGCGAGAAAGAAGTAAAAGGAAAAATGATCAGCCCATAAATCTCAGACCCAGTCAGAATGTTCTCTGGGAATTTGCAAAAGTCAATCAGTTTCAGAACGGGGTTATACATGGCAAACGGCTAGAAAAGAACGTTTCTGATCTCTACCATAGAAACCCTTTTTATTTTAGGATTATATTTACTCAGAGAAGGGCACTGTTCCCAAAAGATAAACAATCTGCTTTTTGGAGAGAGAAGCAGAGTTGTTCATACCGAAAGGCAAATACACCTTACGATTTTTTCGGGGGTCCAAAAAAGCAGTTGGGATTAGAAAGGGGTAGGTTCTCTTTCAAAAAACAGAGAGTGATTGCATTGAAAGAATTGACTATGAGAAGCTCGGACTACCAAAAATTAGATAAAATCCCGTTGTCTATGTTTAAAATTACAAGAGATCTTTTTTTTGAACATTTGCAGCATTATTAAAAGAATACAGACTCATAAAAACATTTCATATGAATAGAAGAGAGGGTGACAAGTCAAGGGACAAGCAATCCTCAATCAAACAAACAACTCAAATCAACCAAAAAGATCACTGAGCCCCAAGGAGAAAAACCAGCTTTAGAGCAAAATTCCAAGTTAAGATTTAGACAAATAAGTCATTCAAAACGAGATCTCTATCGTACAAGTTGGTTCAGCAAAAGCCAAGGCCAAAGCAGGTTTGAGTTTTTCAAAAACAGGAAAACCTCAACAAATCTCACAATGCAAGTCTCTGGCGAATAAGTCTCAGAAAGCCACTTTCTGCCATTCAGACTGAAGAACCCGTAGTTCTGCCCGCTCCTCAAAAGCTCACGAAGCTTGAAGAGATTAAAGCTTGCCAAAAGGGAAATTTGGTAGCGATTTACGATGAGTTAGCATTGAAGTTGTTAACACTAGTCAAGCCCAGACATATCCAGCCAACTCAAGAAGATCAGGGTCGCCTTCAAGCAGAAGAAATGGGTTACAGGTAGCTTTGGTCTTTCAGTTTGATATGTGTATTTTTAATTTTTGTAAAGGGCTTATGCCTAAAACGTCCAATTCTATCAACGATTCGGCAGAAACAAACGTTTTTATATGAGATAACTTGTGAAAGTCGTCAACAGTTGAGGCAAGAAAAGAACTTACTTGAGGAGAGATATTCCTAAACAAATTCACAAATCGTTTTGTTTTAGAAATCATTAACTTGGGGCGCACGTAATCATTCTAGAAGAAGGCTCTAGAATCTAAGTGGTAGCAGTGGCAGCTCATTACACCGAAGAAAGCTGGACTTGTTGACCATCAATGGTTCCAAAATGGGTGAACAAATATTAGGTAAATATATCACTAGGGTAGACTAACATTATTAAAAGGTTTTGTTAAATACATAGGTGGGCAATTTTCAAAGAACTGATAACTATAATTAAACAACCTTTGTGCCATGGCCCAGGCTTTTTTGTTGGCTTTCCCTAAACCCGACAAGTAGCGACCGTTGTGCGTTTAACTTAAAAAGGAGGCATAAGTACGGGCAAAGTGGTGTCTGAGAAATAACTAAGCACAAAAATTAACACATATAAATAGCAATGTAGGAAGCGTAAGTAGGGATGTTCGATACGGGCTTAGGAGGGATGCCAATCACACAAAAAATTAACATTATTAAATGAAAAATACGTTAAGGGAACAAGGATTGGGGGGGGAGGTTGACAGATTTAGATAACGTACAATGACAGCAGCACACAACCTGAGTTGTGAAGGAAATATGGATTACGGCGCTAGCTCGAGGATTCTTCTCCACACAGGAAATATGTACACAAATGCGATCTAGTTACCTTTTCATATCAAGTAGAATGGCAAAGCCCCAATATTAATGTGACGATGCAATAATTAACTCTCAGATTTTTCCTAAGTATTTAATAAGTCCAGGATTATCCTGTTATCAAGTGCACTATATGAACAAATGATAGGACATATCAAAGAGAATTAAGGTCTATGAACGTCATATGCCGTGAAAAGGTAATTGACCTATGAAAAGCATGATACTCCACAGAATGACAAGCAATCATGACTAGTGATTTTAGACTTGGGTGAATATAAGGCTATACGATTAGGAAATTCCTTATACTATAGTATCAAAATCCCTGCATACAAAAATTTAAGTATGCAGCCTCATAAACATGCAAGAATAAGTTTTTTTTTTTTTTTTTTTTTTTTTTTTTTTTTTTTTTTTTTTTTTTTTTTTTTTTTTTTTTTTTTTTTTTTTTTTTTTTTTTTTTTTTTTTTTTTTTTTTTTTTTTTTTTTTTTTTTTTTTTTTTTTTTTTTTTTTTTTTTTTTTTTTTTTTTTTTTTTTTTTTTTTTTTTTTTTTTTTTTTTTTTTTTTTTTTTTTTTTTTTTTTTTTTTTTTTTTTTTTTTTTTTTTTTTTTTTTTTTTTTTTTTTTTTTTTTTTTTTTTTTTTTTTTTTTTTTTTTTTTTTTTTTTTTTTTTTTTTTTTTTTTTTTTTTTTTTTTTTTTTTTTTTTTTTTTTTTTTTTTTTTTTTTTTTTTTTTTTTTTTTTTTTTTTTTTTTTTTTTTTTTTTCCGCGCATTTGGCGACAAGGAGTATGATGAGTTTAATGCGCTTCTAAGCAGGGCACTTGGTCTTTGCTCCCTTGCCCCCATTCTGTTCGTGCTGTCGGTTGCAAGTGGGGTTTCAAAATCAAAGTAACTTGCATGGAAGTATAGAACGTTACAAGGCCCGGGTGGGTGGCCAAGGGTCCATCAAACCAACAGGAATGACTATTTTGCTACTCAGTCCTGTGTCAAACCCCCCACTATTCGCGCTGTACTAAGTATTGCAATCTCCTGGTTGGATCTTCGTCACGTAGAAGTTAAAAATGCGTTCCTTCAGGCACTCTTTCTAAAGACGTATATATGCAGCAGCCTCCTGGATTATGGATCCTACTCGGCCCAAACATGTTTGCAAACCCATAAAGCTCTCTATGGCCTCAAAACAGGCTCCTCGTGCATGGTTTCAGCGCCTCAGTTCTTTCCTCATGTTAGGGTTTCTCCAAGCCGTTGCCAAATCGCAATGGTTTTATTTTTCGGAACAACTCTCACATGATGGTCTCTACTTCTTTATGTCAACGACATGTTCTCACCGGCAGTAGGACTTCTCCTTCTGGATTTCATTTGCTCTGGGGCGTGAATTTCTCGCAAAGATCTTGGCAATCTCAATATTCCGGGGTATATGGAGGTGACATTGTCTGGTAGTATGCATCTCACACAGAATAAATATACCATTATTTACTCAAACGCAGTAACCTGTTGGCGTGGAAGCCTTGTTCCACGCCCATGGCCTCCAAAGGCTCCCTATCTCGCACCGCTGGTCATCCTCTCTTTGACCTCTCCATTTATAGGCAGCTGGTTGGCACTCTACAGTACTAACTCTCACTCGTCCGACATTGCCTACGCGCGGTTCAATTGTGTCTTAATTTATGGGCTCTCCTACTGATCTTCACATGGAAGCTGTCAAACGCATTCTTCGATACCTCAAGGGCACTCTTGGTCATGGTTTACCTTTCAATTCGTCCACACTCCACCATTCTTGTTGCCTATTCGGATGCTGACTGGGTAGGCTGCCTCGATACACGTCGCTTGACAACTAGTACTGCGTGTTCTTAGGGGTCAAATTTAATTTCTTGGAGTGCTAAGAAACAACGTCCGGTTTCCCGCTCTAGTGCCGAGGCAGAACACCGCGCCCTCGCCTATGCCTGCGCTGACACCATTTGGATACAGGGTCTCCTTTGTGAATTACAATTCCCGCTTCACCAACCAGTCTACTCAATTGTGACATCTCTCTGTGACATACATGGCTGCCAATCCTATTTTCATGCCCGCACAAAACATGTTGCTCTTGATTATCACTTTGTTTGCGAAAGTGTTGCCTCCGGCAGCCACAAAGTTTCCTTCATCCCCTCTGCTGCTCAGCTCGCTGATGTCTTTACCAAAGGGCTTTCCTACAGACCGCTTTGCTCGCCTTGTCTCCAAACTTGTCTCTCCTCCGCCGCCAAGTTTGTGGGGGAGGGTAGAGACCCTTCATATTCTTGACAGTTACAACAAGTTAAGGAGATTTCTGTTACAATTGTTAACACCCATAATTGCCTTGTTGTCTGTTACAATTCGGCTATAACTCCCAGACCATTGCAGCTTGTATAAAATCCATGTAATAGTGTGTATTTAGATATGAAAAGAATCTGTTTCTACAGTGTTGATTGCTGTAAAAAATGCAACTTGCCCGAAATCAATTGGTCTACCACTTTTGCCATAAATATGACCAATTGACTTGAGAACTTCCTATTTTCTCAGAGCATAAGAGCATTGCAGCAAGGGGGGGGCGGGGCTCGCTCGGGGGGGGGGGGGGGAGTTTTTTTTTTTTTTGGGGGGGGGGGGGGGGGGGGGGGGGGGGGGGGGGGGGGGGGGGGGGGGAAAACCCAAAGGGTTTCCAGCAACAAAGATCTCCTGCAACAAAGGGCAAGGAGGGGGGGGGGCAGGGGGGGGTCGGGGGGCCCGGCCCCAGCAGCTACTCGGGCGGCTCGAGCGCCAGAGGGCAAAATGACGTCAGCATTGAAGTTTAAATTTTTTTAACGTTGCCCGCTATAGTGCCCCCCAACGGCTCTTTTCCACGTGGCTTCTTCTAGGCTATCCGATCCACTTTTTCCAGAAATCCAACGGCAACCATTTTTTCCCGAATAAAAAAATCGAAACTGTCCCCCCCAACCGCTCTCTTCCACGTGGCTCCTTCTGGGCTCTTCGATCCCCTTTTTTCCAGCAATCCAACGGTAGCCAATTTTGCCCAATAAAAAAAATGAAAAAAAATCGATTTTTTTTAAAAAAATACCAAAAAATACTGAAATTTTTTTTTCTATAAATACCAACCAATACTCTTCACTTTTAACACCAACTCCTCATACATTTCTTCTCCTTATACTATATTCACTTTCTACTCAATATTTTTCACTTTCAAGATGTTTTTTTCTCTATCATATTATGGGTTCTTCTAGTGAAACTGAGGAGGGGCATGGAGCATGATGGAAGATGTTAGCTTGTGTGAGGCTTGGCTCCAAGTTAGTCATTGTCCATAACGGGCAATGAGATCAAATTTTGTCATATGTGGAAAAAAAATTCATCAGGAATTTTGTGAAAGGGTAATTGGTTCGACCCGTACGGATCAAGCATTATCTAGTAGGTGGAAAATTCTTAATAAAGAGCTGGGAAAATGGAGAGATGCCTTGGCAAAAGCGATGGACAACCATAGAAGCGAGGAAAAACCTTAGCAGTGAGGTAAATTATTTGTAATTTTTGTTTTATTAATTTCTATGTCATATTAAATTTTATTTAAATGTTTCTTGCAATTATATATTTTGTTAATATTTCTTGTATTTCCATATTAATATGAATGTTTCTTGCAATATTTATATTTTGTTTTGCATTTCTAATAATTGTTAAAGTTTCTTGTGTTCCATTATTTTTTTTAATACTTGTTGCATTGGCAATATTTTTTTAAAGTTTCTGTGTTTCCATATTTTTTTTTTATACTTGTTGCATTGCAATATTTTTTAAAGTTTCTTGCATATAGATTATGCAAGCACAAATGTTTTTTGGTGCTACTGGGCAAGGCAAAAAAAGTTTCAACCATACCCTATGTTGGGAGGTGGTGAAGAATTGTAAGAAATTCCAAATTATTCCAACGGGTTTGACGGTAGTGTTGAACGAGATGCCACTCCATGAGACACCGGCATCGGATTCACCTATGGATTCCTCGATGAGTCAAGACTCACCTATCAAAAAGGAGCCGAGGCCTATTGGGAGGAAGGCGGCGGAGGCGAAGAGAGGGAGTAATTCTACCAAGAATACATCTAAATATTTGGAGGAGCTTTCAAAGATGCAAGCCATGAGAATTGAAATGGACATGAAACAACAAGAGCACGATAGGGCAATGGAAGTAGAATATGCAAAAGAAAGGGAGTATGTAAGCCAAGAAAAGATTGAAAAAAAAGGATCGGGAAACCATAGCTATGGATACAACCCATATGTCCCCCGAAACAAAACAATTTTGGAAGTTAGAAGAAGGGATGTTATGAGACGAAGACTTTTTTGTGACGATAGACCTAGCAACACGGATTGGTTAAATGATCAAAACCATTAAGTTAGTTTGCTTGCCTTTCATTTCATTGTATTTTTGTTTTGTTTAAAAAATTAGTGGTAATTCATGTATTTTATTTATGAGTTGTATTGATTTTATTTTAGTGAATGAAGAAAATATTCAACAAAAATCCTTTTTATTCAAAACATTCCATACATAAAAAGCAAACCCAACCAAAGCATAAAAAATAAAACAAACCACAACCAAAGCATAAAAAAATAAACAAACCACAACCCAAAGCATAAAAAATAAACAAACCACAACTAAAGCATAAAAAAACAACAAAGCATAACTAAAAATACAACATAAACATAATACATTAAAAAAACATCTTCACTTCACTTCACTGTCCTTCGTTGCCTTTCACCGCCCACAAATGCTCCATCAAGTCAACTTGACGGTGTTCATGAATATACGACGATTGCATCTCTGTGTAGCGCTCAATCATACGATGTATGAAACTACCATCTCTAACCAATGGATCTTGCTGCACTGGTTCTCCATTTGGCCCCATAGATTTTTCATAAATTCATGTTAAGGCCGTGTTCATGGGATCTGGTTCATACACTTCATCAGCATCATAATCATACTCATCTTCTACAATCATGTTGTGGAGGATGATACAAGTCATCATTATACTCCTAAGCACCTCCTCATCGAATAGACGCGCCGCGCCCTTGATAATTGCCCACCAGGCTTGAAGGATACCAAAGTACCTCTCCACATCTTTTCTGTACCCCTCTTGATAGGCAGCAAAACAAAATTTCCTTATGAGATCGGGGATGTGGAATTTATTTCACAAATGTTGTCCACCTCGGGTAGATACCATCAGCTAGATAATACTCATTCTGGTAGACAGAATTATTAATTTGATATGTGATAGTTGGGCATTCACCTCACAGAACATCATTGAACACCAGGGATTGACCTAGGACATTCAAATCGTTTTGAGAGCCGGCAACTCCAAAGAAGGCGTGCCAAACCCATGTATCAAAACCAGCAACTGCTTCGAGGATGATGCTTTTCTGCCCTTTCCGATTGCCATAATCCCCTTGCCAAGCAGTTGGACAATTTTTCCATCGCCAGTGCATGCAGTCAATGCTATCAATCATCCCAGGAAATCCACAAGACTCAGCTTTTTGTAGAAGCCGTTGCAGGTCCTTGGGCGTAGGTCTGCGCAGGTAGTCCCTAGTGTACAGAGTTTCCACTGCATCACAAAATCGCACAAAGCTCTCCAAAATAGTGGACTTCCCCATCCTGGCAATCTCATCCACTTGATCAACAGATGACCCATACGCCAACATTCGTATCACAGCTGTGAACTTTTGCTCTGGAAGAAGCCCCAAATTTCCAGCACAATTTTTCTTTTGAACAAAGTAGTCATCATAATTGCAAATATCATGCATGACTTTATTGAATAAATGGGGGTTGCATTCTATATCTTGCTCGAAAATGAACATCAGAGTACAGAGATTGTGGGATAAATAATCTTCTAGAAGATTCTTATCCCGAGAATGTCTATGTCTATCCACATTCGGTGCCCAGCCTTCTCGTGAACCACGGCAGCTCTGGTTTTCTTCCTCTAGCAAAGCAGCAGCCACACCAAGTTGCTCATCTAGTTCTCTCTGCGCCCTTTTGCTTGCAGCTCTTCTACGCATTCTCGCTTGCCTTTCTTGCTCTTGCCTCTCCAAAACCTCTTCCATGTTTGACATTGAGAATGAAGAATGAAATCTAAAATATGATAAATGAAATCTAAAATATGAGAAATGAAGATGTAGAGAGGATATGGTGTGGGAGGTATGAGCTGAGCCTCTGGTTTTATAGAAAAATTTAGGCAGATATAGATGACACGTGGCGCAATTTTAGAGGGTGAAAATTTGATCTGAAATTTGAAATTCACATGAAATTTGGAATTTGAAATTTATCTGGAATTTGAATTTTGAAATGTATCTGAAATTTGACATTTTGAATTTATCTGAAATTTGAATTTTGAAATGTATATGAAATTTGAAACTGAAAATCTTATCCGATATGAATAGTATTGACACGTAGGAACCGAAAAATCTTATTCGAAAATATTATCCAAATTAATTGTTTAAGTAAACAAAGTTGTGAAAAAAACAAAAAAATGAATAGTATTTGCCATGGCAAGCCTAAACTGTTGGAAACACACTTTGCTAGGGGGCTAGGGCAGCCACTATTCACGTGAATAGTAGCTGCCCTAGGGCTCCCCTTGCCATGGCAAGGGGCTAACTGGTGGAAATGCTCTAACAAGCATCAAGGTTGCCTTTGCTCATCACGTGGCTCACAAACACCTTGCGCAACCTCCTCCAATCTGGATCGTAGGATCCGAATGTGATGTCAGTTCCTCCGTAGGAGGTAATCTATGCAGCAATTGTAAGGTCGTGATTTGCAAAGAGGGTGTCTTGGTCACGAACCACTTGTTTCACAAGTGATGGCGAAGAGAGCACAAAGCATAATTTGCTACCAAGTTGGAGTTCGTAGATAGGACCATAAACACTTGCCAGGTTTGTGAATTCGTGGGTGAAGGTTGGGGCCTAAAAAGGGAAGGCTCCCAACAAATGGCAGGCCACGAGGGCCTGGAGGCAATGGAGGTGTTGGGTTTTTTTTAAGCTTTTCCAGTTCCACATGAACCAGAACAGAGCAACCGCCATGGCTGAAATGGTGAGAAATATTGCTTTGGTCATCATGAGATGGCCATCTTTCTCAATATTGCTAGCATCCCACCATGGTGACCACATTTTTTGTTAGCCTTAGGCCCTGAACCCTAATGAAGATGAAATATATATAGGCTTGTTATATATACAGAAAATACATATAGAAAAGCTTTTTGCTCCTACCAGATAAAAAGCTTGTGGGATGTGGGGATAGCTTTTAAGGGCTAAATAATGTTTTGCCCCTACCACACAAGACATCCAGGAGAAAACGCCAGAAGAAAAATTGAGAAGTTGACAGGTTTGGACAATGGATGCATTATTTTGTGGCAGATTAATATCTCTGGCCACTGCTGTCTTGCAGTGTGTGCCTCAACTGGGTGGGCTCAGAGGTGTTAGGTTTCGGCATATGAAGGATACCCTCTAGGGTCCTTTTTTTTTTTTTTTTTTTTTTTTTTTTTTTTTTTTTTTTTTTTTTTTTTTTTTTTTTTTTTTTTTTTTTTTTTTTTTTTTTTTTTTTTTTTTTTTTTTTTTTTTTTTTTTTTTTTTTTTTTTTTTTTTTTTTTTTTTTTTTTTTTTTTTTTTTTTTTTTTTTTTTTTTTTTTTTTTTTTTTTTTTTTTTTTTTTTTTTTTTTTTTTTTTTTTTTTTTTTTTTTTTTTTTTTTTTTTTTTTTTTTTTTTTTTTTTTTTTTTTTTTTTTTTTTTTTTTTTTTTTTTTTTTTTTTTTTTTTTTTTTTTTTTTTTTTTTTTTTTTTTTTTTTTTTTTTTTTTTTTTTTTTTTTTTTTTTTTTTTTTTTTTTTTTTTTTTTTTTTTTTTTTTATAATTATTCCTTGTCGATTTTGAATGTGGTAAAATCCTCTGAAGCTACTAGCAAGATTATTGCTTGGTCTTGTGAATACTAACAAAAGGTTATTGAAATATATTTTGTAGCATTTTCATTTATTGTCATGAAGTGGGTGGTGGAGCTCATAAAGTTATAGAGCTTAAGAAAATCTGCCTCTAACTCCATCTCCCAAGCTTTGTCATTTTGATTTTATATCGAAAGCAGCAACTAAAAATATACAGTAGTTATAGACTTGAGCATTCTACTGTCAGCTGCAATAGTTAAGAGAGCCAAAAAGGCTTCAAATGTCTTCTTGCACAACAAATATAACACCAAAATCAAGCCCTAATATAAATAAAAAATACTTTTGTAAACTAGAACCATGCAGCACTCTGAAAATCATAGTTGTCTGACCACCACATGAAATTTTGTTGATACGTTCACATACACACAGACATGCACATTGCTGAAGACTGGTACGACAGTAATTTCTAAGTTTGATGTGGTTAGATACTTTATCCAGGTGAGGGAGCATTTGGAAATATTTGCTATATTGAAAGGTGTGAAGGAAGATTTTGTGAACAGCGCTGTTGTTGATATGGGTGATCAAGTAAGTTCTTTTGGCAGAACTGGGTTCTTGCATGCTTTTGTTTGCTAGTCTGAGCTTTTGGTTGTTCTTGGCAGTTAAGTATGACATATATTATGATCTGCTATCTTTATGCTTTTAGAGTCTGATGCTAGAATCTTAAGCATCAGGCCATCACTATAAAAGTGTTTGCAATATGGTCTAACAATGTATTGGCATGTTCTTTCTTTGCCACAACGAAACTAATGTTTCTGGTCCTATGATTTTCAGAATATGTGATTTTATCAATTAGTGTGCTACCTGCTACCTTATTTGATTACTGTAGAACATTAGGCCCGGGACAATATTTATTATTTTCTCTTTTTGTTTATGTATTCTTTGGTTCATGATCAAATGAGGAGGTTTGTTTTCTGTTTTGTCATTATGATCAGGTAGGTTTGGCTGATAAAATGAACACGGCTGTGAATGCTCTGTCTGGAGGCATGAAGAGGAAATTGTCTCTTGGAATTGCACTGATAGGAAATAGTAAGGTGGGGGCTAAATTTCAATGGCGCTATCTTGTTACTTTCCCATGTTGGAATGTACTGAATTTTTTTAATTGTTTCCTTCTGCAGGTTATAATTTTGGATGAACCGACTAGTGGAATGGATCCGTACTCTATGCGCTTGACATGGCAATTAATAAAAAAGATTAGAAAGGGCAGGATAGTATTATTGACAACACACTCAATGGATGAAGCAGAAGTACTTGGAGATCGTATAGCTATCATGGCCAATGGTTCTTTGAAATGCTGTGGAAGGTTTCACCTCTTCCAACCGAGCTTATGGTGTTTTTTTACCTATTTTTAGTGTTATATTTTGACTTAGTTCATATGAGATTTCATAAAGTTATATATTCTCATTTAGTTGGGAAATGCGGAATAACTGACAAATTTTTTGTAGTATGGGGTGAAAATGATTTCATACATTTTTCATGTTTGGGACCTTGCCATATGTATTCTGTAGTAGATACTTATATGATATATGTACATAAAATATAATTAGATCTAATATCATCCTTATGTATTCTGTTCGTATAAATAAAGATCTTTGTATTGTATGTTGCAATTATTATTAATAAGTTTTGTTTCTCATAAAAAAGAGGGATCTTATTAGACCACACACAAAAAGTATGTAGAAAAGTTATCTGTACCATACGTTTAGACATTCTAAAGTCTGAATGAGATGCCATTCAAATGCTCAATAGGACCGTTCGAATGACCTTACAACTTTATGAACCAATTTTGGCAACGGGATGACTTTAGGGTATAGTTTCTATACATATATAATTATAGGTATGCACGTATAGAATCCCCTATTTTTAATTTTCTAGAAACCATGTTCTGAAAAATTAATGCATAACGCTATCAACATGTTATATAATTTTCTCATATAGATCTCACTTTTGAACAGTTCCCTTTTCTTGAAGCATAGTACGGGGTGGTTATACTCTAACTTTAGTGAAGGTAATACCCCTATTTGTGTTCACCCCTATTTGTGTTCATCTTTTTCTGAATATTGAATGGTGTATTATCATTATGCAACACCAAAATGCTATGACTTACTGTTTTTCTCATGTCAGTCTGCACCCACTGCCTCTGTTGCTGCTGACATTGTTTTCCGCCATATCCCATCAGCAACATGTGTGAGTGAGGTATCCATCACATTTCTCGAGAATTCCTGCTAGTTAAACAAAAACCTTTCCTATACAGTATATTTGGCATGATATTAAATCATTGATTATTTACAATAATATGTTTTTGTAGTTTTACTATTTTCTTTTGAACTTCAGTTGTTTTACTACTTTGATTTTAGGGAAAAATATTGATTCTTGCATCTTCCATGTATATGGTATAATTGTTCCTGATGTAGGATATGGGTGAATTGAGTATTTAGGTAGTTTAGCGGAAGCGAAAACAATGGAAAACAGAAAATAGAACAAAAGGGATAGGTCTGGAATCACTCCAGCCGTTTGGCTTCACACCAAGTAGTCTCCAATCTCTGGAAAATAAGCTTTCCTTTATATCTCAACAACTCAACTCCATAATGAATTACATAGACGGGGTATTTATAATAATCTAAAACCTAGAGACAATAAGATAAAAAAAATCCCTTGCTAAAACAAAATTTCTAACCTAAATAAAATAGGAAACTTATAAATCCTACTAAAATCTGGAAAACTTAAAATAATCGCAGGAATAAAAAATTGCCAGATTTAAAGACCAAATTAAATGACTTCCTCTTCCATCTCTTTCTTTTGTAAACCCTAATGGGTTTGACAAAGATGTCCTCATCAGTTCCCCTGCCCTTGGATGGGAAATGTGAGGGAGGGGTGGCTGATATAACTGTTTACTTCATAATAGTCCACTTGACATTGCTAGTGTATGACACTTTATGTTATATATGTGGTTTTGTATGCTTGTACAGGTTGGAACTGAGATTTCGTTTAAGCTTCCTTTGGCATCCTCGTCGTCCTTTGAAAGTATGTTTAGGGAAATTGAGAGTTGCATGAAAAGACCCATGTCCAACTTAGAAACAAGTTCTGGTGAGGACTATTTGGGCATTGAAAGTTATGGTATTTCTGTTACAACTTTGGAGGAGGTATTCCTGAGGGTTGCGGGGTGCGACTATGTTGAAGCTGCTTGTTTTAACCAGAAGACTGATCTAGGGCTTCCTGATTCTGTAATTTGTCAGACTACTCATGATCCTGTGCCCAAAAAGATCTTTCACTCAAAAAAATCTTTTGGATATTATAAGGAGATTCTTGGGGTCTTATTTACAATAGTGGGAAGAGCTTGTGGTTTGATTTTTGCTACAGTTTTAAGTTTCTTAAACTTCATTGGTGTGCAATGTTGTTGCTGTGGTATCATTTCAAGGTCAACGTTTTGGCGACATTCTAAAGCATTGTTCATAAAGAGGGCAATATCTGCTCGCAGAGACCGGAAAACAATTGTTTTCCAGCTTGTTATTCCTGCAGTTTTCTTATTTTTTGGTCTTCTATTTCTCAAGCTCAAGCCACATCCTGATCAACCGTCTGTTACATTTACAACTTCGCATTTTAATCCATTATTACGTGGTGGTGGTGGTGGTCCAATCCCTTTTGATTTATCCCGGCCTATTGCAAAGGAGGTTTGTCCACTTCGATTTTTCTTAATCTTATATTGGATATGCATGGTCATTTTTTAGCATTTAGAATCTGGGGGTATCCCCTGGATGTGAAATTTATTCTGATTGCTTGCAACATCAACGGTTTCTTGCTCTTAAAAGCTACTGGTGCTGCAGGTTGCACAGTACATTGAAGGGGGTTGGATACAAAACTTTAAACCTAGTGCATATAAATTCCCTAATGCAGAGAAGGCATTGGATGATGCAATTGAGGCAGCAGGGCCAACCCTGGGACCTGTTTTACTTTCAATGAGCGAATTTTTAATGTCTAGCTTTAATGAATCTTACCAGTCAAGGTGTGTTAAACCAAATTTTCTCGTTTTTTGCAAATTTCTTTCATCCATATGAATAGGGTGTCTCAAGGAAATGAAATTCATAGAAATTGATATGCTAGAAACCCCAATATAACTCCTGAAAATGAAGTTTCCACATGGGAAACCCTTGGAATTGTAGAAATTTACACATGCACATATGATAATTCGTTTTCAAACTTGTGGGTCTAATGTAAATGAGAGGGTTAAGATAAAGTACTGTAGCTGTACACAGTTTGCAGCTGAAAGAAGCATATTATTTGTACTGAAACTTTGTTTACCTGTGCTGGACTGGAATCCAGTTAGTTTATAGTCTCTTTTTGATTGTGTCACGTTTTCTTTTGTCTGTGCTTGTGGTGGCCTTCTTGGCCACGGTTTCCTTTTGATTCATTTTGTACTTGGTTTTTTTCGTAATAAAATTGTGTTTTACTTTTTTTATTTTTAAAAAAGACTTTTTTTACCTGTGATGGTGGGACTGTGTATGTTTCACTGAACCATCCATTTTGTTAGCAATCCAAGCCGATTGAGGTAGAATATTTTTCCCAGGTAATGAGAGATAACTTGGTCATTTATAAAGCCGTGGACAAAAATTGTGAAATTAATAGAAAAAGTGATGATGATTTCTTTCTGCAAAACCAGTACCTGAAGTTTTAGTTGACTATAATTAGCCTGCAAATTTTTCTCTAGTGCTCTTTTTTTCATTGTAATGTGTGCGTGATGCAGGTATGGGGCAATTGTGATGGATGATCAGAATGATGATGGAAGTTTAGGGTACACTGTGCTACACAACAGTTCCTGTCAGCATGCTGCCCCAACATTTATCAATTTAATGAATGCTGCAATTCTTAGGCTTGCTGCTCATAATAAGAATATGACAATTCAAACACGTAATCACCCTCTGCCAATGACAAAAAGCCAACATCTGCAACACCATGTATGCCATGTCCATTCAATCCTTTTAAAGATTTTATTTCAAGTTCACTCTTTAAGCATCATAAAAGTCAGTCTCATTTTAGAATTAAACTCTGTTGTGTTGGCTTCTCATCTTCGATTTCCATGTAATAATAACTGTTTTTCTACCTATGAATTATTTTTAACCTCACAAGGAGATATCTGAAAGTATCTATGCCTATCATTTTATAACATTCTGGATCAGATGAGGCTTATGTTTCTAATGAAGTTAAAAGTGTTGAAGCTTTTCCTGCAGTCTCTCGTCTGATGGGATCCATTTTTAGCAGTGATACCAGAAGTTCTGTCAAGTCTTTTAGGATCTTATGACAAATAGAAAATGAGTTCTCTTTTCTACAATGGTGCCCTTTTTGCATGCATGTTGGTGCGCTAAACTTCGAGAAAATCTTTCGGTGTGACCTTTTTCTTACAACTTACATGAAGAAAAGTTTGTGAGAATGTGAAGGTAAAAAGTCTCACATTGGAAAGTTGAGAAACCTAGCAAGGGCTTATGAGGAGTTGGGCTACTCCTCCCATTGACAATTGGTTTTGGGGTGGAAGCTCAACTTCCTTAGTGGTATCAGAGCCAGGTTCTAGGGTGTCTCTTTGCTACTATTTTACAAACCCTATTTTTCTTCATGACCCTATGTTTCACTGCCCTAGTTGCTAATCATTGAAATCATCTACCAAATTGAGAGTCGTTGGTGCTTTTCATCCCTCACCCATATGGGTGTTTATATTGTATAGCCCTCTTGCTACTCCTCTCCTTCTGTCCTTGATTATAAAAAATAAAAATAGGCTTTTGTTGTTGAAGACCATAGTACTTCCCTTTTCTTCGTTACCATGTTTCTATTACGGATCCTATCCTTGGGCAGCACGCCATGATGACTTGATCTTCTTTCATCCGTGAGCCTTGTCATCGCTCATCCTTAATTTTCATCTTCTTTCAAATCTCATCCTCTACGAACCTCGAATTTGATGGGGTGATAGAGGAGATAGACACAATGTGCCACACATGCTCCACGTCACCCAATATGTGTTGTCCACACGTTTGGCTTGAAAATTCGCCACACGTGCAGGGGTGTGAGAATGTGAAGGTCAAAAGTCCCACATTGGAAAGTTGTGAAACCTAGCAAGGGCTTATAAGGAGTTGGGCTACTCCCCCCGTTGCCAATTGCTTTTGGGGTGGAAGCTCAACTTCCTTCAAAGTTCTTTGAGTTTATTGATACGATCAAATGTCCAGGACAGAATCTCTGAGATAGCATTTTCAAGTGATTCCACAGGCATTAATATGAATAGGCTTTATATTGTTTGCGGCTAAAACATTTTGTTTTGTTCTGTTTTTTTGTTTTTTCTTTCTGGTATGTTCTATTTTATCACTAAAGGAGTTAATAATAAATTTCTTTAAGTTTTATTAAATTGTATGCCATGAGCTGTCTGGAAAGTGTTTGATTTGCTTGATTGTTAGTTGCCTGCATCAAGAAGCTGGCTATTTTAGAAATGGTTCTGTATCAAGTAAATGTTATAATTTTAAGTTGAAGTTATGTGCTTATGTTAAATATTGTACAAATATCTTATGGTTGTGCTTTTAACCTCTCTGATTCATTCGATAGGGTTCTATTACAAATGAGAGAATTCAGGAATTTTCACTTCTGGTTATTTTGTTCATTTTGCAGGATTTGGATGCATTCTCTGCTGCAGTTATTGTTAGTATTGCCTTCTCCTTCATTCCTGCGTCATTTGCTGTTGCTATTGTGAAGGTACTGTGCCAAACATAATTGCAGCTGTCCAGTATGAGTGCTTTTGCTTCACAATGTACTGTACCATTCTGCGCTAGGATATGGTTACTTGTAGTTACAATTTACAAAATAAGTGATGCTGTCTTAATATTTACTGTACTATTCTACAATTGGCAGGTAATGTTTTTGTCACAAGAAATAAAATTTTATTGAGAAGGAAGAAGCATTTTATTGAGAAAAAAAAAGAGAAGAAACATTTTATTGTGTCACATAAATAATTAAGCAATTGGGACGACGTGCACCACTGTGACCTAAAGGCTATATTACGTCAACACCACAACCCATTCCCAGATCAACACCTAATTTACTTGTCGAAAATAGCTGCTTTCCAATTTAACTGAAACAGATCCCCATATTGATGACAAAAATTAACTGTGCATCAGTCAAAATACCTACCTAGAAGATATTGTATGATGCTCTAAGTATCTCCTTTACCCTAGAAAATAATTGTTTTTTTTCGGTTGACTGATGCAGGAACGTGAAGTAAAAGCTAAACACCAACAACTGATTAGTGGGGTATGTTTGTTTGCTGGTAGAACAACCATCCTGTTGTAATTTTGTTACTGATACTCATAAGATTAACTACATTGTAATATATTAATCCTCAGGTTTCTATACTTTCATACTGGGCTTCTACTTACATATGGGACTTCATCAGCTTCCTATTTCCCTCATCTTTTGCAATAATTCTTTTTTACATCTTTGGTATGTCTTTAAACTTATATTCTTCACTCATTTTTTCGTATAGAAATTTGAGCTTCCAACTTCATTTCATTGTTGAAATTTTTGTAAAATAATTGATGGGAATGTCGTCATTCTTTTTTGGTCAAATCAGCAAGCAGTAGCAATCAAAATGTTTAATGCGATTTTCTTTGTTGGTGTCTGCTGGTATAGGGGAATATTTGATTGACTGCATATTGCACCATAGAGGTTGATATTAATACAAGATATTGTACATGATCTCTTATATTCTCCGGTATTCTTTAGCCTATGCATAACTGACTTCAAAAGTTGTGCAATGCTTTTGTAAATGATTCTTTTTATATTTAGGAGCCTTTTTTGTGTAGGTGTGTGTGTGTGTGCATACAGACACTCCAAATTCAGGCTTTGCAGATGGTTCCACATCTATCCGGAATTTTACTCACTAAATAGTTTTTCTTGTATTTTGATATTTTAATGCACATATTGAAAAATATTTGTTTGTAAAAATCACAATAGACATGCAAGATGTGAAATTTGACTTTATTGTGTTCTCCAGTTGTTAGAAATTGATCTAATATATTGAATGCCATGGAGATTGACCAACTCTTTTTGAAATGGAGGAAGGATAAGAGGTGGAAAAAAAATGTATTTTGTAAATGTGGAATTATTTGGTGATGACTTTCTAACCAACTCAAAAATATTTTGAACTTAACCTGGAATCAATGATCCCACATTAGGGTCATGGCTAATGATTATTCTTCTTTCTTTCTAAGTTCCCTTGTATATTAATTGCCTCTGTACATAAACTCATAAAAAAATGTGTGTAGGTCTGGAGCAGTTTATTGGGAGTGGATGTTTATTGTCGACAGTAATCATGTTTTTAGCGTATGGATTAGCGATTGCATCAACAACATATTGCCTTACATTTTTCTTTTCTGACCACACTATGGCTCAGGTGGTGTATTTTTCATTGTCATTCTCTTATTCTCACGTCCAGGGCATTAAGCTTGCATGCCCATGTTTATGAATGTCATTCTCTTGTTTATTAAAGTTGTACTTATTATTATCCAGAATGTGGTTCTCTTGGTCCACTTTTTCACGGGACTGATTCTTATGGTTATCTCATTCATTATGGGGCTTATAAAGACGACATCAAGTGCAAATTCTTTTCTCAAGGTTGTATTCCTACATACACATCTCTTTTATTTTTTGTTTTAAAATCTTCTTGTTTTTACTGCTAGTATTACTACTTTGTACAGTAAATTTACTAGCCCTTGTAGTTTTTCTTTCTTTCTTCTCAATACTAGTTTGGTTTTCCTTATCAAACATATATGTGTGTGTGTGTGTGTGTGTGTATATATATATTTAGATGTCCGCACGTTATTATCGTTCGGATGCCATTGTAAACAGGGAGGAAAACAGGGAGGGGTAGTAGAAAATACATGGTGTCTGCACGATAATAACATCTGGACGTCCACATAGGATATATATGTGATGTAGATAGTTTCTGCTGTGAAATTAAATTCCACAATGATAGCAGGAGAGTATTAGTGTATACTTGGAGTTTCCTCTGGTTTTTAGGGGAGGCCGTGACTGGAAATTGCAATTAATAACTAGATGCTGTCTTTATTATGAAGGAATTCTAGTGTAGTTCCTTTGAATTTACTTTGAGGATGTTGATTCATTTAGAAAAATAGGACTAATTGCAATTCTTTACTTTACCCTTAACTATTGCTTCTTAAATCTTGTACAGTGTTTTTTTGTTTTTTTGTTTTGGTTTCTTTATTTTGAATTTATAGTTTTCATGCATTGTCTTGGTCTGAACTATCCGACAATGTTGAGAGCAACAAGTGTAAAGCTGTTTATCTTTTGATAAAGGGCTACTCTAGAAGTTCTAGTTTGCCTCTTACTAAATGTTGTGACTGAATCTAGAAAACTAGTGCTGGTGATAATAGGAATCTTATATGCCCTGACATGTGGATCTATGCTTCCAGAACTTTTTCAGATTATCTCCGGGGTTTTGCTTTGCTGATGGACTCGCTTCACTGGCTCTTCTACGGCAAGATATGAAAGATAAATCTAGCAATGAGGCCTTTGATTGGAATGTTACTGGTGGCTCAATTTGCTATCTTGGTATTGAGGTTCGTATCTTACCTCTGGCCTTGTGGGAAAACACTCTTCTGCAACTCTCTGCTTAAAAAGTTAAATCTATTTCTTGAGAAGTGGAATTACCAATGAATATATGTAATGCTAATGAGTAATACCCCTTCTCAGAGTGTTTTGCTTAAGCGCTCTTCTATGTTGAATAGTATTTAGATGTCAGAAAGGTGAGACCCTACAATTGAATTTGTGGAGTCACCTGTCTCTTTCATTCGTCAAAATGTAAGCTTACATGCTTTGTTTATTTGACCTAACAAAGAATGTAAGAGAGGGAAAATATGATCATAAAGAATGAACTATCAGTTTCAAAGGCTGCATGGTCTGCAGGATAATCGGAGACATATGTGTTTGTATATTAAGTAATTGTTGCTTAAGCTATTGGGATATAATGTTAGTCTAGCCTAGAATCAAACTTCTGGGTTTGAGACGTCCTTGATTTGGAACCTCCCAATGCAAGCTACATGAGAGTAGGAGATCCTAAGTTAAATTCCTGTAAATGCAGCCTCCACTAGAAATTGAATTCTAAATTTTAAGCTCTCCTGAGAACTACATGATGGGACGTATTAGACCCCAACATCACAACTTATCAAGATGACACTATACCCTAGTTGTAGCTACGCAGTCAAATGACATAATACCCCAAATCTGCTAGATGTTGTGTGCTTTTGGGCCCAATTGACCCTCACAACTTTAAATACCATGTTAGATACCACTAGACACAAAAATCTTAAGCTGTTAGAGATGAGGTGAAGAACCTTCAACAATTGAAATATACTTCAGATTATCTTTTTTCTTCTCCCATAAGAGGTATCTATAGCTATACAAATTACACAAGAAAAGGAAAGCTATTAATCCTACTCTATACATGCATCAATATACATCAATGTAATGGTGATGGGGTTGGGGTTGGCAAGTACCTTTTACATGTTCTGCACCTGCGCAAGAGGTGTAGTATCTTGTGTCTTGGATTGCTATTTGTTACATATTTTAATATTAAGATTGAAAGTGAAACTTTAATTCATGTGGAAAATAGGGTTACTCTGATCTTATTCAAATTTCTCATCTTTGCAGAGCATTTTCTACTTCCTTTTGACACTTGGGCTTGAACATTTGCCTTATAAAAAATTGACACTAGCCACGCTGAAGGAATGGTGGAAGAGTATTAAAAGTACCCGTCAAGGCAGTTCGAGTTATCTAGAACCCCTTCTGAAATCTTCCTCAGAAGTTATCACTCATGAACTTGATGAAGACATAGATGTGAAGACGGAAAGAACTAGGGTACTTTCAGGTTCCATTGACAATGCCATAATCTACTTGCGGAATCTTTGGAAGGTATATCTATATATGGTTCAAATGATATTAGTGGTTCTCTTAGTTTAATAATGTGATACTTTACGACGAATGATTGTATAATAGCAATATATGTCAACTTTCAGGTGTATCCTGGAGGAAAGCTTTATGGTCCAAAAATAGCAGTAAATTCATTGACTTTTGCAGTTCAAGAAGGAGAATGTTTTGGTTTCTTAGGAACGAATGGAGCTGGAAAGACCACAACTCTGTCAATGCTGACTGGTATGTAATAGCTGGACACCAGAATATCAGATATACTTACTGTATTTTTGAAACATTTACAATGGACAATCTGGGCAACTTTTTTTCTTTTTTTCTTTTTGAGTTCGTACTTATGCCTTCCATAACTAGTGTTTGGTATCTGAGGGAACCACCTCTTAAAAACCAATTGCATTTCATGATAATAAAATACGTCATTGAGTTCACTATTTCTTGGCATTGTAGTTTTTGCTAAGAAGAATTTTATAATTTATTTTGTTACATTAAAAGTGATGGTCTCCATGAGAACTTGCCAATGTTTGATTTCAGACAAATACTAGTAAAAAACTTTTGACTTTGCATTGCGTAGTATTGAATTTGTGGCCTTGTGTGTTTTTGCATTGTTAATTTGTTAATCAGCATATTCTCAAAATTGAATTATTATATCAGTTCCTTCTTTTTGATTGAACAATTTCCATCCAGGAGAGGAATTTCCAACTGATGGGACTGCTTGTATATTTGGCAAGGATATATGCTCTAATCCCAAGGCTGCTCGTCGACATGTATGTCTTGATTTTCTTTATATATGTATGTGTGTAAGTGTGTGTGCCTTGTCAATGATGATGTGGCAGAAGATTGATCCAGGCCATTAATCATGTTGATGATACAATGGAGTCAACAGGATCAAGAGGGCTTTCAGGCATCGGCATTACCATATAATATATGTCTACATATTATATATATATATATGTATATATATTTTTTTTGCACATACAATCCTTATTTTTATTTCTTCCTTTGTGGAATGTTGATTATCCATCCAATATAGTGATAGATCCTAGCTAACTTTTTCAATGTATCATTGAATTTCAGATTGGGTTTTGTCCACAGTTCGATGCTTTGTTAGAATTTTTAACTGTTCAAGAGCATCTTGAGCTTTATGCCACAATAAAGGGAGTACCAGATTACCAGATAGATGATGTATGTATATCTGTTCAAAGCTCGTAGAACTTAATTTTCTTCTTAGCATCCTGATTTAAGTCAGAATTTTCATCCATTTGCATAGATGTAATGACTTAAATTGTCCATTTAAGCCATATCATGCTAAATTCTGAATCAAACATTTTGCATGTTTAAATACCTTGAATAACTTTGGCACTTGACATCTAATATATATTTTGATACACACTCAACTGGTGGAGCCTCAATCCCTGACAGGTTGTAATGGAAAAGTTAGTGGAGTTTGACTTGTTAAAGCATGCCAACAAACCATCATTTTCCCTCAGTGGGGGAAACAAGCGTAAATTATCTGTTGCAATTGCGATGATTGGAGATCCTCCTATAGTCATTCTGGATGAGCCATCAACAGGTATACTTGCTGGTTCTCATTCTAAATTCTTGAACAATTTCTATCTTAAGATTTCTTGTTTTTGTGTCCTTTTTATATGATGAAACTGCTTTTATATTTGTGGCATAAGATTTTAAGGAACTGTTGAAATTAACTAAATAAGTGATGAGCGAAATTTGCGGTGTGGTTAATGTGATCTTAGTAAGGCTGTCCATCAGATGGTTACAGAATAAGGATATAGATCTCTACTTAACCAACTTTATTAAACAATAAAGCACCAGGAAGCAATTAATAAGCCATATAATGTGGGGGTGAGAGAAGGTGCTGCAAACAACTAGTTAGGGATTTCAAGATCGATCCAAAATGGTTGTTTACAGTGGAGGTTGATGAGGGGGTCTCAGGGTAGCTCCATTGATAGGTTAAAAGCTTCTACATGAAAGTTGATCTGGGTTGTGCTGCGCAAGTGTCGGAAAATGACTCTTAAGATACCTAAGGCATTAGTTGAGCTTTATATTTGAGGAAATGTGGAGAAAACTCCTACTAGGCATGGATGGTGAGATGCTAAAGGCCCACATACTAAATTAGGATCAAGGTGATAACCTTCACTGCTGGAGTAGACACAATTAAAAAGTTCTTATAAATGCCGTTATGCTTATTTGAATATGGTTCTGACTGGACAATGGTCACACATTAAATCATGTCTATAAGTTGGCAAAAAGAACCTTTTATCTTGTTAGACTAGATCTAGAAGTTGCATTCAAAAGTGTTATTTTGTTCAACCTCAATATGTACTCAAGATATACAAGACTGCTCCTTGTTTTGTTTATACTGAAAATGTTGCTACACCATAAAAAAGTATATTTAATTTGTGTTTTACTTGGAGATAGAGTCACAAATCTTGCTCACTATTGTATTAGGTATGGATCCAATTGCCAAAAGATTCATGTGGGAAGTGATATCTCGTCTCTCAACCAGACGAGGAAAGACAGCAGTAATACTTACTACTCATAGTATGAATGAAGCTCAAGCCCTTTGCACCCGTATGGGAATAATGGTACCAATTTACCTTGCTCACCAGTCTACTTGAAGCAGTACTTAATGCCACTGTCCATATCACTGTATAACCACTTTGATGTTTTATTTTAAGGTTGGAGGCCGATTAAGATGCATTGGTAGTCCCCAGCATTTGAAAACACGGTTTGGAAATCATCTTGAGCTAGAGGTATTTCTTTCGTTTTTCCTTGCTTTTTAGAGTGGGGTGGTCTGAAAGCATTATTTTGTATGATGATATTTTATGGAATTTTTAATCACTTTTAACTCAGTTACCTACTCTTAGGTTAAACCTTTTGAAGTCAGCTCTGGGGACTTGGAAAATCTTTGCCGAGTTATTCAAGAAAGACTTTCATATGTTCCTTCTCATCCTAGGAGCTTACTTGATGGCTTCGAAGTTTGCATTGGGGCCATTGACTCCATTGTGGCTGAAAATGCATCAGTGGCAGAGATTAGCTTGTCACGGGAAATGATAATCATTATTGGACGATGGCTTGGCAATGAAGAAAGAATAAAGTCACTTATATCTTCAGTGCCACTTTCTGATGGCGTGATTGGTGAACAGTTAGCTGAGCAGTTGGTTCGAGATGGTATGAGTGATCCATGCATTGATTCATTTGTATTCTTTCATATTTAATTTTTAATTTTTGAGATTTTCTTTTTTGTTTGGAAAATTTGGATGGGTAACTTTAAATGTCTGTATGCGTACCACATCGTATGACTATACAAATTTTTTGCCCTATTTTCCTGACAGGTGATTACTTTAGGATGTAGGAACTGTTCTGGCTTAGGATTTATATTTTACTCTCAGGTTTTGAGTGTAACAGGATTGTGGAAAAGAATCATTTCCGCTTCTGAACTGGAGACTCTCTCTCTCTCTCTCTCTCTCTCTCTCTCTTACACACAGAAAACTTGGCTCTGATCCTATCATGTAATTAGAGCATCCAAATCAAAATAACCATGGTTGGAGAGGCCCAAGAATGTATGCACATAGTGCAAGGCTTCACATTCTTGATGTGGGATTTACACTCTCAACAATTATCATATGTCTCCACAGTACTAGACTTTTATGATCTTTTATCGCTTTGTTATATATAAGTTGAATCAAGGTCCTGAAGTTTCTAAGTTATTCCCATGCATCTCTCTTCGTAAATGCTTGCTTTTCCTAATCTTTTTTCTAGAACTTTAATTTAAGTGACAGAGAAACTATCTACTCCAGACAAAAATTCTTACGCATACGCAGACAAAATTCTTTGTTAATGCTTTAGTTGGCAATCATCCTTTGTTTCATTAGTTTTCATATAGGTTTGAATGAAGTTTGTGTTACTCTGGCAGTGCTTTAATCAATATGCAGCGAGGTTCAGTGTACCCACTGTCTACAAGATCCAGATATACATTGCGTTATTTTTCAATGTCTTCATTAGGACTTGCTAATACTATGGGATATTCTTATTTTAGGGTTTAGGGTCTTATTTAGACTCTTTGTCAGTTCTCTTGGTTATGATTCTTGCTCTTACAGAAAAATTAGAACTTTTGAAAGGGATCGATTGTGGACTTCAAACAATTTTTATACATATTTGATGCTCTAAATTCTATTTGGAATGTCATTATTGGTAACTCATTTATTTAATTATTGTTTCTTCTTTACTTTGCTACATTTTTTGTACTTAATATTGGAGTTTGTGCAGGCGGAATACCTTTGCCAATATTTTCTGAGTGGTGGTTGTCCAATGAAAAGTTTTCAGCAATTGATTCATTTGTCTTCTCATCATTTCCCGGTGCAATATTCCAAGGCTTCAATGGCCTGAGTGCTAAATATCAGGTAAAGTTTGTCTTGAATTAAAGTTACAAATAGTAATTCTTGTGGAAGATTTATTTATATATTTTTTTTAATCTGTTTGGATTAAGTTATCCAAGTGCTATGCACTAAACTATAGAATGAAGGTTGGCCCACCTGCTAAAATGTAAGCTTTTGGGAGCAGTAGTAAGTCAATATATTTATAATGATAATGAAATAGGAGATCCAGATTCAATTCAACTGAGTCTGTAACCAACCAATTAGTAGGCCACATAGGAACAAGAATAGTGTGTGTGTGTGTGTGCGTGTGTGTGTGTGTGTGTGTGTGTGCGCGTGTGTGTTGCACACATGTGTACACGTGCCATTCATATTGAAATAACAAATAGCTTAGATGGTAGGTGGGTTGATGTGTATGCGAATTCGCTCAGGTGCCCAAGTAGTCTGTTTATTGATGGAGTGAATTTTTTTTCCCTGAACTCACTGATGGAATGGTTGAATGGTTGAGAGAGGACACGTTGTGAGATGGAAATGGGGAAACTCTTGGCTTTAGTTATGTTGTTGTAAAACCTTTATGATTTTAGAGTTAGTATCCTTACTTTGCATTGTTTTTACAATACTTGTGGCATAATGGGAGATTCCTGTTATTGCATCTTCTACTGGGTGTATAGTAGTATCAGCAGTTGAAATAGTTTTCCAAAATCTTGTTCGCAGTTAAATATTTACTGTTTTTGTTATTTTCAGATACTATTACCAGACCTGTCTTTTACTTTCTTTTTTCCCCTTCACTGTTACCATCTCAGAAATGTTTTCAAATTACACTTCGGTGCATTCCCAAATTACACTTAGAAATGTTTTCTTTTTTCCCGAATTGTTGATCTTTGGTTAGTGGGGGGCAAAAAGGTACGTCTCTTTTAATTGTTGTAGATTACAGGGGTATTTTATTTTCATGGTGGGCAATAAGCCTCTCTTCTTAAGAATAGTTGGTAGGGAAAATGTGGAAAATGGGTTTACCTGTGGCTCCAAATGCACGTACAGGGAGTATGAGCACCATGTGTTATCATGTCTTTCATTGTATTGCTGGCGCACAGAAAATTTTGTAATTTATCTCAACTCTTGGCTTTTGTTGCAGTTGCCGTACGGACAGGGCCTCTCACTTGCAGATGTCTTTGGACACCTCGAACGGAACAGGTGAATTCGTCGTACCTTCTTTGTTCGTTTGTGTTCCTTCTTGCCAAACCTGACCAGTGTTTATAATCTCTCTCCTTCTCAGATATAAACTTGGAATTGCAGAATACAGTATTAGCCAGTCGACTTTGGAAACCATATTCAACCATTTTGCAGCAAACTCATGAGAATCATCATCTACTGAGACAAATCTAATTCAAATAGTTTTACGTGACGCATCAAATCATCACCCGGCACAAGCACCGGGCACAAGCGGCTCACTTGTTTTAAAGTTGAGACCGCCATACAAGGCTCTATGTAGATATTAGGGACGGCATATTGTACATAAGTTAACTTTGGGGAAATGTAATCTGTTAAAAAACTTATGGGTCAACAATCGTACCTGTCATCAATCATACGGGTCTGGGACTTGCAGCCCGCATCCTGTCTAGGATTGGCGAGATGACAGTGTTCCAGAAGTGCATTTGAAAAATCATATTGTTGTGAACTCGTAGAAGATAGAGAGTTCCTTTTATTTGAGTTTTCATATACATTCACCATTGGGGAAATGAAATGCCCGAGGTTTCATATACATTCACCATTGAGGAATCAGATGTTCAAGTTGCCCAGGCTCTTCCATAGTTCTCTTTTGTTCTGTCAATCACATTCTTGATCACATTATAATTATGTGGTAGTTTCGTTTAGGACATTGCTTAGCTCCTCATTACACGTATATCAGAGTCTGACACATTCAAAATTAACTTATTAAAATTACAAAAGTAAGTTTTCGCACACGTGCCAGACTTCGATTTGTCTATAAGGAGAAATGACACTTCACTTCCAAGGAGCCAAGTATTTTCGTTGTTTATTAACAATTGGGTATGACAATTGATGAATGTGGTCCATAAGTGCTAAATGTGATATAAAAATATGGGGTTTTTAAAATCACTCAGAAGAAAAGAAACTATATAATAGAAAAGTCTATAAGATTACAAATTATTATTTATTTGGTAGAAATAACATTGTACATTATTCTTTATTATTTTATTAATGAAGTTCTAGCATTTGAAAACCAATTTAGTTGGTTTTTTGTTCTTGATGAGAGTAGCAGATTAAATACAGGGGAAAAGGCACATGCATATTACCACCGCAATAGCCACGAGCTGCTCCAGCAGTCTTGCCATATTTTTGCCAGCACAAATAGGCTTCTCTTGGCAATTAGGCATGTACTCCATCTTCCCACAAGCACGAGTTGATTGTGCCACCGCTTCATCTCCTGCACCACTCAATATATTCAACAAACACATTTATGTTTTCACTCATCTCTATATATAGGAAAAGACAGAGAATGGTGAAACATTCAAAATATCAGAAAATGTCATTGGTTAATGCAAACATTAAAAATTGACATTATTAATTAAATAAAGATAATATAGTAAATTCACACTTTTTCATATTTTAAAAAATTAAAATTAAAAGAAAAAAAATCCTATTTTTATGGAACACAACTACCCATTATATTTTTTAATTCTAAAATAAAATAAAATATTTTTATTATAAAAAAAACCTCTCACATGTGCAGAAGCACGTGCGAAGAGACTAGTATATCTTTAAAAAGCAACAAAATTATCAACGTCTGACTTTTCTGCCACAAGTGGCCCTTTCAATTTCTTTGTTTTTCTATAAATATTCCCAAGCATTATATTAAAGAATAACGACCAAATTTTTTGCTGTTTTCTTTTTATAGTAAAAAGTATTAAAAAACAAAAAGGAGTGGGAAAATCACCCCTTTTATGAATTATCAAAGTTTGGGCATCTGGGCTGGCTTACTTATAATAACCCAATTTGGTTCTCATTCTTCTTATAGTGGACTTTTCTTTTGTCAAAACAAAGCTAGCCCATTGGTAAAACAGACCTGGGCACTAGCCCAAACGTCCTCCTTCCTCTTTCTTCTTGTTCTTCTTCTTCTTCTCTCTCTGTGAGCCTCTTCTAAAACGGTGTGTATTGTAATTAGGGCACCTGACATCATCTTCTTCACGAGTTAGCCGCATTCTTCTTCGCAGAGCACCAGCAACTGGAGATTGGCAGCAGCTGCAAGCGCAACTAAGTTCTTTCCAATCCTTCTTCCTTCTTTTTGTTGATGCCGCCGAAACCAGTAAAAACCTAGCCTCTTCGAATCCAGGAGAAGAGGCTAAGTGTATTGCGAAATAACCCCCGCCGTATCCTTGACCGTATCTAGACTGTATCGTTCGCGTGTCCATGGCGTATCGAAGACTTATCGGATGTTCAACATAACAGAAAAGTCCACGATAAGCCGTTTGCCGTATCCGATACGTGTCGGAGGCGTATCGTATCGGAGGAGTATCCGATACGAGCATACCCTTCCTGACCCACGTATTCTTGCAACATAGGCCTCCGATTACAGAGACTAGGAGAGAGAGAGAGAGAGATGGAGAAGAGAGAGGGAGAAGGGGAAGGTGAAGAAGAGCAGGTAGTGAATCCGTGGACGGTGTCGGCCAAAGGTGGCGGGAAAATCGACTACGATAAGCTCATTGACCAGTTCGGCTGTCAGAGGATCGACCAGTCGCTCGTCGACCGTATCCACCGCCTCACCTCACGTGCTCCCCACGTGTTCCTCCGCCGCGGGGTCTTCTTCGCCCACAGGTCTCTCTCTCTCGTTGTCTTTGGTTTTCAATCATTATAAATTTGACATTAAAAATAAACACAGAAGTGGAGTTGATAGTGGACTGCATGCGAGTGCAGGGACTTGAGTGAAATTCTTGATGCTTATGAGAGAGGAGAGAAGTTCTATTTGTACACGGGAAGAGGACCTTCCTCTGAGGCATTGCATTTGGGTCATCTTATCCCTTTCATGTTCACTAAGTAAGTCCTACCTTGCTTTCTGCTTATCTTTTTTGGCTAGGGTTTAACAGACAGATGCTATGTACACACTCATATGTATGTATGTATATATATAATCAGTGTCTTTGTATAGTAAATTTGTGACGATCTGTCACTGAAATGCTTTTTGCAGATATTTGCAAGAGGCCTTTAAGGTTCCTCTTGTTATTCAACTTACTGATGATGAGAAATGCATGTGGAAAAATCTGACTGTGGAAGAGAGCCAGAGACTCGCCAGGGAGAATGCCAAGGACATTATTGCTTGTGGTTTTGACGTAACAAGAACCTTCATTTTCTCTGATTTTGATTATGTTGGTGGGTAAGTAACACATATATACGTTTAACTCCATTACTAATTTAATACTTCTGCATGTTGACATGTTGTTCAGTTTGTGTTTCAATTTTTTATCAATGGCCTAGAGTGTGCTATGCAAGCCTTCATTTACTTTTCTGCCCAAGTTAACGGTTTGAGATTTTGGGATTCTATGCAAGCCTCTTTTTTTTTAATAGAAAAATCTTGTTTGCTTTAAAATCCTTAGTTTCTTAATGAATTTACGTCAAAGGGCCTCGTGAATTTAAAGTTAATGTTGGACGTTCCACCAAGTGATCACCTTATGAGATGCAAACTGCTTGACAAGCTTCGATGGGGAACCTTCTGTTTTCAAACTTTGACAGGGCGTGATTCTATCATTCATGAATACTGTGTGTAAGTGTGTGTTGTAACACCTTGCTGACTGATTCTATGTTTAATTTTCTATGCAGTGCCTTTTACAAGAACATGGTGAAGGTTGGAAAGTGTGTCACATATAATAAGGTGATTTACAATCTTTTCCCTACGAGCATTATTTTTTATAGATATTTGGTGTACCTCCTTATTCAAGTTTTTGTAATCATCTATCCAGGTTGTTGGAATTTTTGGTTTCACCGGTGAAGATCATATTGGAAAAGTTAGTTTTCCACCTGTGCAGGTATTTTCTTGGCTATGCTGCGTATGATAGTTTATCATGTAATTTTTGTTACTTGTTTCTGATTAGTTCCACGAAAATAGTGAAGCTAATATCTGTTCTATTTTTGTACTTTCATGAAACATCACCTCTTGTAAGTCATATTAAGGAGATTCAATGTCGTTATGTGTTAATGCAGGCAGTTCCATCATTTCCAAGTTCCTTTCCACATCTTTTTGGTGGCCAAGACAATCTTCGTTGCTTAATTCCATGCGCGATTGACCAGGTATAAATGATAGGAATAATTCTCAGAGCATGAATTGTTAACTAATGATTACTATTCAGGAGAACATATATTGGTTAGTTTGTGGGAGATTTTTTTCCTTTTTTATATGATATGAAATATGAGGGTTATTATTTTTCTTTTTCCTGACTAAATTTGTAGGGAACCACCTCACCTTTAAATGTAACACCTTTTGAGAGGATAAAACATGGAGAGTGGGATAATTATAGTTTTAGTAACGTTGTGTGCTCATTTGTTTTAGTGAATGCTGTTTTTCTTATTTTCTTTTATTTACTAATACCATGTTATATTTGTTTGCGATTTGTCCAGGATCCTTATTTTAGAATGACACGAGATGTCGCTCCACGGATTGGATACCAGAAACCTGCATTGATTGAGTCTTCTTTCTTCCCTGCCATGCAGGTACTTTATGGTTTTGGCACATAATACATGTGTGCCACTTAAAGTGGTTCCTAAATTTTTAAAAGGGATAAGAAAGATGCAATATTTAAATTAGCCAGCTGAATTTAGTTGATGATTTTTATGCAGAATCTGACTTTCTGTATTTGTTTGGCTGTTTATTTCTGTGATTTTTTTCTTTTATTTGACCAATGATTTTGCACTAGAGACTTAAATTATTCCACATATGTTTCATATGACCAATGTTTTCCAGTTGGGGGTGCTAAATTTTGATGTTGGCAGATATGTTTAAGCCCTAATGTGGACTTTGGAGACACTACCTGTATGCATTCGCACACACATAAACATGAATATATCATTGTTCACAGGGAGTGTACAAGGACCATAATTAATAAAACAAAAGTCGATTATTGTAATATGAATATTCAGCTTTCAAAAGAAGTAATTGCTGGCGAAACTGGTCTTGCAAAAATTGGATGATGTGGTATGCATGTGATTGCTGATATATTTCCTGGAATGTGGATACTTGCAGGGAGAGACCGGTAAAATGTCGGCCAGTGATCCAAATTCTGCCATTTATGTAACTGATTCTGCGAAGGAAATTAAGAACAAGGTTTGCGTTTGCTGTTGCTGTTGCTGTGGGTTTATTTGTACAACCTTTCTATTTACTAAGACTCTTGCACAATCTTTATCGATGTTCTCTTATTCTAGGGCCAAAGTCTTTAATTGATGCAAGGTTCAAAGTGTAACCTTTTAAACTCCCAGTGAAAAACATGCTTCTCTATCTCTTAAAATAGCTGTCTTCCCTTTCTGAAACCACCATCTACTCTTGTCTTAGCTTTCCCACACCACCAAACCGCAGTTTCACAGTGCCAAAATTTTCTACCTGAAATCACAGTCCAAATGGTCCAAAAATTCTTCAGGATTAACAAAATAAAGAATTTGTGTGCATGTGCAGATAAACAGGTATGCATTTTCTGGTGGACAAGATTCAATAGAGAAACATAGAGAACTTGGCGCAAATCTTGAGGTATTTGAATTGTCTCACATGTTAGTAATAGAAATTTGTCCTCCCCAACTGGTTTGAGAGTGTTATTGTTGCTGGATCTACTACCTTCCCTTCTCATTATAGATTGTCCAAGCAAGAAAAACAATTCTGCTTATCTGTCTGCACTTACATGCCAGTTTGATTCATGTCTTATAAGATTTGTCGGTCAGTACTTGGTGCCATTAACTTATTGAGGAATGATTTTATCTTCTGGACATTATTCAGGTAGATATACCATTCAAATATCTCAGTTTTTTCCTGGATGATGACGCTAAACTCGAAGAGATAAGGAAGGTGAGACTGGTATCCTAATGAATGTGTTTTTTTAATAAATAATTTTTTTTATTAGTACAAATGATGCCTTCTTGTTTTGCTAATTCACTTCGGGTACTATTAGGAGTACGGTGCAGGACGCATGCTGACAGGTGAAGTTAAGCAACTACTTATTCAGGTTTTGACTGAACTAGTTGAAAGACATTGTAGGGCTAGGGCTGCTGTGACTGATGAGGTAAGCTTCTGGCGCTAAGGATTGATCATTCTATTGTTATTTGTCACTGTGCTGATTCTGGCCGCCCATATAGATTTTGAAAGATGCTTGTTGGCACATGGCATTGAAAGCAAACATTTTGAATTATATGAAATCTCAGTTATGACTTAGAAGGATTGATGAATGTTTTTGCATATTTTTCAGATGGTGGATGCATTTATGGCAGTGAGGCCCCTACCCAATATGTTCAACTAAAGTTGAGGCAGAGAGAAATCTACACACACATCCATGAATATTTATCTTACAATTTTTGTGTCAACGATCTGTTTGTCTGGATAGTACTCTTCAAATTTAGATCTACTCATATTGGTTGTTGATGCTCAAACACAAAAGTTGTGAAGGTTTCTACGGCAATATTTTTGTAACAGTCATTAATTGAAACCCAATTTGTGCTGAGCGTAATGGTTTTAAGTTTGGTTTTGTATGATATTGTGCCCTAAAGTGCTGTATCTGCAGATATTTTTTAATGATAGCTGTATTTTCACATCTATTGTCAGGTTAATGTAAGGGATGAAACAGTTGTGAGCAAAGTTATAATTGTTAATGTTACCATCTTCATCAACTCTCAACTGGAGCAAAATTTTCAACTGCAGAATCCATTCGAAAAACTGCAACTGATCTTCTCCTAAAGAGTTAACATTTTATTAGTCCCTGAATTTAGAACCGATTTGCATTTGAGCCCCTCAATTTCCAAAATCATTCATGTGGTCCTTCAACTTCAGTTTCGTTAGGACAAATGGTCATGTCATTAATTTTGTTAAATGCAGGGGCAAAATAGTATTTTTGTATTAAATTGATTAAAATTAAACTCTCTCTCTCTCTCTCTCTCTCTCTCTCTCTCTCTCTCTCTCTCTCTCTCTCTCTCTCTCTCTCTCTATTTCTACTCCCTCCAAACTTGGTTTTTTATTTGATTTTCTTTTATTGTTATTAAAGATATGATTTTTTTATTCATTTTTTTGGTTTTAATATAAAAATATCATTTTGCCCCTACATTTAACAGAAAAAGTTAACAAAATTGACTGCAGGACCATTTGTCCAAACAAAAGTGAAGTTAAAGGACCACGGGAAAGATTTTGGAAATTAAGATACTCAAATGCAAATCGGGTTTAAGTTCAGGGACTAATAAAATGATTAACCCTCTCCTAAATTACTAGTCTCATTCTTTATATATAAAAAATGCAATGATTTTTGCATTTAAGGGTTTTAGTGATGAATGTTTGCATTTTGAGGTTTCATGATTGAATTATTGCATTTTAAGGTTTCGCTGATGAATTTTCATACTTTGGAGTTTTATGAATGAATTTTTGTATTTTAAGGTTTCAAAAAAAATTATTTGCATTTTGGGGTTTCATGAATGAATAAGAAGAACAACTTTCATAAGTGCAATAACAATAACATAAATTAAACAGACAACATAAACGAGACAACATAAACGAAACACACAATATAAATGAAAACACTGCGTAAATTTAAACAAGTGGCTCATTGCCTCTCTCCTTGCCATTTCCAAAGGTGGTTGATCAAGTCATTCTTTAGAGTGTGATGCACGTGCGGAGATGAATGGATTTTTTTGTACCTATTATGTGAGAAAATAGGTATGTTACTTTGTAATAGAATTTTTTTTACACTTTCTATAAATTAAAAACATATTTACAAAATAACATACCTATTTCTCATTATTTCTATATTACATTGAATATAAACATATGAATATCGTCAAAATGTTTTTTTTTGGCAAGCATGACCTAAATGGGGAGAAATTATAGAATGATATGGTATTACCATGTTAGCTGGTGATACTTCCATTTAAAATTTGTCATGTGTATAACTTTTTAAAGAAAAAACAACTTTTTATACAGCTGGATTTGAAAGTTCAATTTTATAATTTAAACCATAAAAAATAAATAAAAAATAAAACTCAATAATAATAAAAATCCCTAGCAACCCCTTCCCTGAGCTCGCCGCCAAAGCTCCTTCTCCCTACTTTTCGCCATGGCTGCCCATCGGTTTTTTTAAAATAAAAAATAAAAAATAATAATAATAATAAAACAATTTAAATCTCGCACTCCCCTCTATTATGGGTTTAGATTTCAAGGAATTTTCACACTATTATGGGTTTAGGGTTCAAGGGGTTTAGATTGAAGATTTGATGGGGTGGGTTTATGATCTTTATGGAATCATTTAATTTCATATGAAGGTTTTGAGGAATCTGATAAGTTTCCAAAGTCCTACAAGATATATGGCGATTGAGATGTTTGACAGGAAAAGAAAATAAGGTAGCTGAATAGGAATCCAATCTTGGTTGCATAGCTTTCAAAATGTACCAATAGCCGAATCAAATTTTTTCTATTGATTGTGAAAGAGTGACGTAGTAGTCATGGCAGACGGTGGGTGTGGGGTTTTGGAGTTCGTCAATGAAGCAGGTGGTTTACAGGGGGTTTTCTTTTTTCTTTTTCTAAATTTTTTTTTAAGTCTCTTTAATTTTATTTAATAAGAGTTAAAATGAGTGGTGAATCTAGTTATCAATAAATTATACACGTGGCGAATTTTGAGTGGAAGTATCACCAGCTGACGTGATGATACATACATGCGTGTTTTGGTAATTTTGTGCTTCAATTGATTTCCCATTTGGATTGGGGTTGTTTTTCCTTTTGTTAACTAGATTTCCTTATACTTCCTGGTTGCATTAGGATTTCCAATTCATAGAACCAATATATATACTAGCCCTAGCCTTATTAGAATTGTGTATCATTGAAACTTGAGGCAGCTTATCGCAATAACAAGATGGCTGGAAGAACGACATGCATGGTCATGCCTGCAGCTGGGTTTATAATTATAACAATTCTCCTCGCTGCTAGTACCACCGCCATGGCTGATGATTCGACACCGATACCTGCTGATGGTTCCCAAGTTGGCAGCTGGTTCGATAACAACGTCAAGCCGTTAGCAGAACGCAAGGGCGTGCTTGATGCCGCCCTTGTGACGGCTGAGGATGGCCCAAAACTTATCAAGGTCATGAAAGATGGAAGTGGAAACTTCAAAACCCTCACGGACGCCATTAATAGCATCCCTGAGAGGAACACCAAGCGTGTGGTTGTGTACATTGGAGGTGGAGTGTACAACGAGAAAATCAAAATCCCACAAAATAAACCATTTGTGACGTTGTATGGATCGCCAAAAAATATGCCAACTTTGATGTTTGATGGCACGGCTCAGAAGTATGGGACTGTCTACAGTGGTACATTGACTGTGGAATCTGACTATTTTAGGGCTGCTAATATTATTGTTACGGTACGTAATTATGAATTGATTAATTTGCTTTAGTTAGAGAAATGTTATATTATTCTAATGATGGTAATGTATGTATCATGGTCTCGTGGAGTGGTATAATATAATTTTGCAGAATTCGGCGCCGGAGCCGGATGGGATAAGGTCTGGTGCGCAGGCAGTTGCATTGCAGATCTCCGGGGACAAGGCAGCCTTCTACAATTGCAAGTTTATTGGATTTCAAGACACTCTTTATGATTACAAGGGCTTGCATTTCTTCAAGGACTGCTACATTCAAGGCACCGTAGATTTCATTTTCGGAAAAGGAAAATCTATCTACTTGGTATGTATTGTAATAATAATGCCTCATAGGACAATACAATAATTTCTCCGAGTTCAGATCATATGTTTGCTTATGTTAAATTTATGCGTTGTAGTATTTATTTTAAAAAATACATCGTTCTAATTAAATTTTCATTCATTAGCTCAAATTGTGACACTAAATAATATGATATATTTTGGTGCAGAATACTGAGATACATGTCCTAGAGCAGAATATTACGGTGGTAACGGCACAACAAAGGGATGCTTCGGAGGATAATGGATTTTCATTTGTACATTGCAAAATAACTGGCACTACATATGTGAGGGGTACATACTTGGGCAGGGCTTGGGGGAGCAGCCCCACCGTGGTGTTTGCCTACACTGACATGGCCAACGTCGTCCATCCTGAACGATGGAATGACTTTGGCCACCCTGAACGTTCCAAGTAAGTAAGAAATTTTCATTATTTTTCTAAAATGTTTTCTTATTCTTGGATCCATTTTTATTGTTATTTTTTACATATACATGTGGTAATTTTTGCAGCAATATGTTCTATGGAGAGTTTCAGAATTTGGGTCAAGGGTCAAACATAAGCGGGCAAGCACGCTACACCAAAAAGCTAAGCGATGCAGAAGCCAAATCTTTCCTCAGCCTTGGCTATATTCAGGGTTCCAAATGGCTTCTTCCTCATCTAAATACAAGATCCAGACATAGTATAGTTTAAGAATAGGAAATATATACATACATTTATTGTAGTTTCCCAATTTGTTAGGTGAGATTGAGCAAAGAGCGTTGCCAATCCAATACGTACATACAATACATGCACACAAGCAATATGTACATCTCATATACCTATTCTACTACGGAAAAAAACTAATGTAGTTAAGTAGTTTGCCGTGAAACTTTCCGTTGATGGTTTGAATTTATAGCCATGGAAATTTTATATATAAGATGAACATGTTCACATTATTTTACAAGTTGTGACGCTATTTCTTCATCTAGAATGTGCACAAGAATTCCTAATTTATTTGTAAGGTTCCTATTAAAATATACACAATAACTTCCTTTGGGCTAGCCACCAGAACTCGATTGCAAGTCTCTTTCGGGTATGAATTCTATAGTGAGGGCCTTATCTAAGGCCTTAAATGAGGTCCTATCCTTTAACCTTTAGATCAAATTAGTTAGCCGTTAGATCAAATTAATTAGTTTAATCTAACGGTTACGAGATTATGCCTCATCTGAACGCCCTCACTATAGAATGACTCATCTTTCAAGTAGCTTCCTAGAAGGACCATGTCCATGCAAGGGTATTAAAAACCTTTAATTTTTGGAGCCCATTACACGTCAATTTTGTCTCTCCTCTTTGTTGCCTTTTTTCTGTTTGGGTCTGATCTGAACGAGTCAAATTTGTCCTCCTTGGTTTTCTAGTTTCACACTACTAGTTTCCTTTCTTCACATTAATATACACTTGTTGACCATAAAATGAAGTTCCCATTGACTGGTGCCCTTCAAAACTTCCTAGTACCTCACACAGTCCAGGGGCTGTGTTTGTGGAAAATATCAAAGTTGGTAGGGCAACAGTTGGGTTTCCTCCCAAATATAACCCTCTTCACAATCTATAAAACGGGGAAGTTTTGCTACACAAAAAGCAAACAAAAAAAAAAGAAGAAAAAAAAAAAAAAAAAAAAAAAAAAAAAAAAAGGCTGCAGGCTCATTGGGTGTGGTTGTATGCTTGTTCTTGGTGGTTGTTGGTGTTTTGGTTGAGGTGGTTCCAATGGCAGAAGGGGACACCACGCCCAGCCAATGCAAGCAGGAGAAGGACCTTCTTGTGAGTGCATGCAAGAGCGCAGTGATCAATAAGAGCCACTCCAGCAGCAAGCCTAGCCCGAGGCTAGGGGAAAAGAAAAAAAATTTGCGTTCCAGCGGAGCAGGGGGGGGGGCCACCAACCCAGGTTGGCCCGAAAGCAACTTCTACCCGAGGTCCAAAACGCGGGGGGGTGACGTCATGTCGACGTCAGGCTGACGTCGACACGCGGTAATCAAATTTTTTTTACCGTTGGGGCGTGCATTACATGCGCCAACGGTAAAAAAAATTTGAATCAGCGTGCGCTGACGTCAGCGCGACGCAGGCCCAACGGCTGGAAGCCACGTGGCACGCCCCCAGCGCTCTGATTTGATTCCATAGCCTTCATCCAACGGCTGGTGATTTTCCAGCAATAAAATTATGAAAAAAATTACTAAAAAATACTTTAAAATTCTGATTTTTTTTTTTCCTATAAATACCTATAAATACCCTTCACTTTGAACACCAATTCTCATACATTTTATTCTACTTCTACAATTACTCAACATTTTTTTCACTCTTCACTTAACATTTTCATCTCTTTCACCTTGTATTTTTATTTATTATTTTGATGGCTTCTTCTATTGAAACCGGAGGGGCGTGGAGCACCATGGAAGATGTTTCTTTGTGTGAGGCTTGGCTCCGAGTTTGTCATTGTCCCGTGACAGGCAATGAGATGAAATTTTTCCATATGTGGAAAAAAATTCATGTCGAATTTTGCGAAAAAATTCCGGAGTCGCCTTGTCAGAGTACAAAACAGTTGGGATAAAATAATCTTCCAAAAGATTCTTACCCCGAGAATGCCTATGTCTGTCCACATTCCGGCGACGGCCGACTTGTGAACCATGGCGGCGACCTTGGTTCTCTTCCTCTTCCATTGCCACTGCTATGAGAACTTGTTCATCGACTTGCCTCTGCAACTCATTGATTTCATCGGCTCTACGGTTTCTCTCCTTTCTTTCTCTCTCTTGCCTCTCCAAGCATCTCCTATATTCTTCCATTGAGAATGAATGGAGTATGAGTTCTAAACTCTAAGAAATGAAAATATTGAAAGATGTGGTGTGAGAGGTATGAGGTGAGCCTCTGGTTTTATAGAAAAATTTGGCAAGATAGAGATGCCACGTGGCTTGATTTGATTGGATGAAAATCTTATCTGAAATTTGAAATTCATCCGAAATTTGAACCCAAATTTATCTAAAATTTGAATTTTGAAATTCATCCGAAATTTGAACCCAAAAATCTTATCCCGAAATTTTATCCGATTATGAATAGTCTTGACACGTAGGAACCCGTAAATCTTATCCGAAAATATTATCCAAATTAATTATTGAGGTAAAAAAAGTTGTGAATAAAACAAAAAAATGAATAGTAACTGCCCTTAGCAAGGGCAACGGGTGGAAACACAAAATTCTGATTTGCGAGGGCAACCACTATTCACGTGAATAGTGGCTGCCCTAGCTCCCCCCCCTTGCCATGGCTAAGGGCAAATGGGTGGAGTTGCTCTAATATAATCGGGCGCAGCCCCTCTGCATACTGCTGCCAACTTGTCAGGGTGACACATGTCGAGTGTGTGTGCCCTTATGTCACCCCCAAACTGGCCAATTTGATCCCTCTCCGTCGTACGATTAAGCAAATTGAAGGTTGTGGAAGAAGCGTCCCTCGCAACTTCAAGTGTGGCAGTGAGTTCATCTCTCTCTCTCTCTCTCTCTCTCTCTCTCTGTGACCTCAGTAATCTTTAACATGAATTGATTAATCTTATAGCTGATCTGATTACTCTTGGTTAATCTTATTTTTTTGGCAGGTATCACCACTCCACCATAAGATAAGCAGACGAATATTCTAGCTAGCTACAAGAATATTTTATTTACAAAATTAGTGAAACACCCAATCCTAGACATGAAATTATAAATATACCCAACACTATTTAAAACATAGAAACACACCCAAAATAAACCCAAAAATCAACAATTGTATATTTTTTGGGTGTGTTTATAAATGGGTTTTGAGTGTGTTTAATAAATGGGTTTTGGGTGTGTTTATAAAGTGTTTTTCATGTGGGGTTTTTTTTATAATTTCAGCCCCTATTTTGGATGTATTAATGAAACTCCCTTTATTATTATGCTTGATTATCAAATAAAGAATAATCTAATTAGCTTTCTTTCAAGCTATGAGTTACATAAATTTGAAGTGCACAATCATGTGCACTAATTATGTATTGGAGAATGGAGGGAAGGGGACAAAGATGTATGAATTTCCTCAAATCAAAGTGAATTATAAGATGTCTCTCCTATATATTCTGATATTATTGACATGATTGTCCAATCTCAACCGTCTATCCATTCAAGGACTAATATCAGCCATTCCTTTTATTGGACTAGTTTTCAAGGACTTTATTGCCTGGACTGAAACTTAAGACGCTACATAAAATAACGATACTGGGCTTGGATATTAGAGGATCATACGTACATGAAGGGCATGTTTGTACCCGATTTTGGTAAACGGACCAAAAATGGTCTCAAGTTTTAAAAAGAATTTTAAAAAAAGATAAAACTAGACCCACCATAATTTGTCTTTTCTTAAGATCATCCCTCTCCCAATTGGGCCTCTCATAATAATCAAAAACATTCCCAAGTCATGAGAATCAGGCCTTTGTCTCGCGCCACAAGTTCAAGAAATTGGTAAGTGTGTTTCCTAAGCCCACGTGGGAGGTCGAAAGGGGTTATCACATTTAATGACGATTTGACCTCCTTCTCTTCCAGCAAGAAAACAAGTCGTATTGAAGCCCCCAAAACCAGAAAAGATCAAATTTGCCAGCCAGGTTTTCAAGTACAAAGAAGTCAAATCGAGAAAGCTCCACAAAGGAAACCGACGGTTCTTGCCAGAAGTCCTCCATCATTCCCTCTATGAATTGGTTAATATTAGCAAACTAGCAGCTGACCTTGAACCACAAGCCAAAGGTCTTGTCACAAGTTTCTATCATTACAAGTTCCTCCACCTCTATAAATAATGAAGGTCTACCTCAGAAGAAGGGGACTCTCTCTCCAAAACCAGACGTAACGTCTCAAAAAACACTTGAAAAGCTTTCAAGATAACAAGCTGCCTTCTTCTTATTTAGATAACCAGTTGACAACTCCTGTGCTTATCTCTCATAGCTTTGCCATCTCCATGGTATAATTTTTCTTTTAAGACATCTTTTTGGTTTCAATGCATGTAATCGTTTGAGCTGGATTGAGAAATCTCCAGTATCTTTTCCTTTATTTTGTAATTCAGATTCACGGATAATTAATGGATTAATTAAGGAATCTTCTGTTATTTAGTTTAAGCTTCAAAGTAAACATAAGTTGTAGAAGAACCTATATAAATTAAATTCATTTGATTATCTGAAGACCGAATTATGGACCATTCTAATACATAAAATTGGATTCCCGCCCTTTTACCCCTCGAATAGTCCAGAAAAACTAGCTTTCAGGCCCAAAAGGGAATAGGGACCTGAAAGGAATAATAAAAGAAATGAACAAGAAGTTAACTTGGGCCCGAAATTGCACCAACGGACCCGAGTTGACTATTGGTCTAGTTGAAAACGAGAAAATATTGAGGCAGGTTAATAAAACCCAGGTAAGGGTTTCTACTAACCACAAACTTGGTCTTGCTTTGTTGCCTGTTCAGGTACTGCTCATACTTGTCAAGGTGATAGTCATGAAGGAAAGAATATTGAAGTCCTCTTCATTGAGGCGTAGAAAAGAATCTATCTAGGCCAATACCCCCCTCTAGTACAATGGCTTGGTAAGAAGTCCAGAAAGGAGGTGCAAGCTCTATCAGCATTGGTCATTCATATCCACACCAGATCTATTGGGCTGGTTATATACTCAATAGTGGCACGCCTATGCAACGACGAGAATCAGTATTAAAAGAAGTTGACAGATAGGGCCTCGATCGGGCCCTTGCGCTTTGGCAAACTGATTCAACTTTCAATTTTGTTCGAAAATTGAAGGAGTCCTCTCTGCGAGCCAAGAGACAACATCTGATCGAGGCATTGGTGTTGATCCGCCAAATTCCTCTTCATTCCTCAGAGCAGAGCTGACCCCCGTGGTTGGCGAAAAGGAACGAAAGATGGAAAAAAGGACTAATAGGGCATATATAAGATAATGACACTGGTATTTCTGTACATGAGTTATAATATTATTATTGCTAGAAATTAAATAAATAACAAATTATTAAGAAGGAAAAATAAAGAATAAGTTATGAGGGCAGCGATTGCGATATGGTTATTGTGGTGGTGCTTGGTCGTGGTGGATGTATAATAAAATTTATTTATTTAACCTATAGAAGGTTAGGAGGGGAATATCTGAAGTAATTTGATTTTTGCCTATTATATATGGGAATGGAAACATAAATGTGCAGTGAGGTATTATTCATTTGCCTTAATTAGGTGATTGGTAAACGATTAGCAACCAAATAAAGATCTAGTGGCATGATTTGTAAATAAATCAACCTACATGGACACATTTTATCCCAAATTTAAAATTAGGTTTTACTTAAACATTGTATTAATGGTAAGTTATTGTCTAGAGTTTTAAACTTGTAAGTTATTGTCTAGAGTTTTAAATTACGTTTTAAGAAATTATAACAAAGCTTATAAGATTGCACATTGTCCAGATACAGGCCATCATTTTTTTTTAAAAACAGATAGGCCATCTTGGATATATGCATAGTTAATGCTCTACTTTCTTTTGTTTTTTGGGGTGCTAATTTTTACACTACTCTTTTGTCCACTTACACTTCTTTCTAATTTTCTCACTTCCCTTTTGTCCATTTACACTTCCTTTTAATGGTAATTACAAAAGTATTAAAAAGCAAAAAGGTGCAAGTGTTAGCGAGTTTTTTTGTTGTTAATGTATAATAGAGCCAATGAAGAGGGATAAATTCTGCTAAGTAATGCTCCATTATATTATTTTTCACTTCTCTTCAATATAAGATATTAGAGGAAAGAAATCGAATACATAACTTTTAGGTATAAGAATAAATGTTCTTAACAACTTGAGCTACCAGCTTAATCCCTCGTAACTTGATGAGCACCAAATTTCTTCTTACAAGGGAAAACACACATACATAAATCCCCCTTGCAATACCCTTGAGCTGTTGTTCCAACACTTTTGGCATATTTTTCCAAGCACAAGTCATCGCAATTTTTCTCAACGCAATTGGGCATATTCTCTACCCTCCCGCAAGCATGACCTGTATATTCCGCCACAGCCTCATCTCCTGCAGTACTCATTCAACACATTTTATGGTTTGAGTCATATCTTATAGCAACAAAAACAGTATTATACAATGTAAATGTTCCTAAGAAATATTTCATTTGACAAAATTCTAAGAAAAATGAGATTAATTCTTGTACACATTTTCTTCTTTGACAAATATTATGTCTCTTTAGCAGCAAGAAGTTCGTTTAATATATGAACCTCGACCACACAACACATTTTGTCTACAATTAATCTAGTTAATCGATGATCTAGATTCATAATCTAGCAATGTAAATATTTTATATTGCGAGACACTGACAAGCAAACATTTCCATGTTTCGACCAAAAAAAAGAAGCAGCATTTCCATGTATATGCATATAGCATGAAGAAGCATTATTTACCTACAGTACTGAAGAAGAGAACCAACAGAAGCATGGAACAGACGTGGAGGCTCTTCATGGTTTTATCTCTCTAGCTATTTTGAAGAATATGGATCCTGCATATATTTTAGTGAGGCGATCTTGTTTACATTTATATATGCAAAAATCTCTTCAGAGCAGTAATTGGGAATTAGGGTAAAGGACCATATATAAAGAACATCGTTTTTTTTCCCTTATATATATATATATATATTTTTGTCAACTGAGTCCATTAGTGTATAGGTAATATGAATCTTAATGCTCATTTATATTTGTTTTCGGTTTCGAGTTGAAAATCATTCTTCATTCATTGTACCAATTCTAATGGAATTAAAATGAGCATTGCACATTTTGCTCTTTTTATGGGGAGTTCTATCTTTTGGTTCCAAGAGCCCCTAAATTTTCTCATAGATGTTCTATTTGAGGATTGTAACAAGTAGCTTTTCGGGTATGGGCCTGCCTTTTGGTTCCCCAATTTATTGTGGTGATTCCCTCCAAAATTTTGATCTTAAAATCAATCATCATTAATTGTCCATTTATAATGGGGTGCATTTTTGCTCACCACTTTAAACCTAGGTATACCCTCATCACCCCTCCCAAAAGTTGACACATGTCCATAGGTTTAACTATAGTTAATTCCTTATTTTTTATTTATTTGATGACATTATTATGAGAGAGAAACAATCCTTTAATAAGATTTGTCCTCATTTACCCTTATTCTAACTTAGCAAACTTTCCACTTTTCCCATTGGCTTTATGTCCCGTGCTTTAATACGAATTCAACATGATCACGGAGAGGTAAAAGTTGTTAACATCTATGCTACTTTAATACAAATAACACCATAAAATTTGTTATCCCACTTTTCGACCTCAAATTTGTTAACTTCTATGCTGCTTTTTTTTTTTTTTTTTTTTTTTTTTCCTCTTTTCTAAATTAATTACCTATTGGCTTTATGTCCCGTGCTTTAATCAGAATCTCAATTCGCAGGCTTCAATACGAATTGAACCCAACTCCTTTTATCCACGCCCAAATACTTTTATCCGAATTGAAGACTTAACAGCTCCAAGAGTTACACTGCTCTTCAATTGCAGGCTCCTCCATCAAGTGAAAGATAGGTAACATCTATGCTGCTTTTCTTTTTTTTTTTCTTTTTTTTTTTTAGTACTCTGTATTGTTGTTTTTGGTTTGATACTCAAAAAACTAAATACTATAGAGCAATCACCAAAGTATAAAAAATAATCAAGTAATACAGAGTACTAAAAAATAAAGAATTAACTGTAGTTAAACCCATAGACATGTGTCAACTTTTCGGATGGGTGGTGAGGGTACACCTAGGGTTAAAGTGGTGAGCAAAAATGGACCATATATAATGGGGTTCATTTGCATATTTAATTGCTTTATTATAGGTTTTGATTATGGGTTTAACCATTTGGGTCATGCTGGCTAAACAAAAACGTTTTGATGATATTCATTTGTTTATATTCAATGTAATATAGAAATAATGAAAAATAGGTATGTTATTTTGTAAATATGTTTTTAATTTATAAAGTGTAAAAATAAAAAAATAAAAAAATTCTATTACGAAGTAACATACCTATTTTCTTACATAATAGGTACAAAAAAATTCATTTATCTTTACAGGTGCATCACATTTTAAAGAATGATTTGATCAACCACCTTTGGAAATTCATTTATCCGTTTATGTTATTGTTATTGCTATTGCACTTAAGTTATGAAAGTGGTTGTTCTTATTCATTCATGAAACCCCAAAATGCAAAAATTTATCAGTGAAACACTAAAATGCGAAAAAATAATTTTTGAAACCCTAAAATACAAAAATTCATTCACAAAACCCCAAATACGAAAATTTATCAACGAAACCTTAAATGCTATAATTCAATCATGAAACCTCAAAATGCAAAATTCATCACTGAAACCCTTAAATGCAAAATTCATTGTGTTTTATTTTATTATATATATATATATAAAGAATGATACTGGTAATTAGGAGATGATCAATTGCAGTTTTTCAAAGGGATTTTGCAATTGAAAATTCTGCTCCAATTGAAAGTTGATGGAGATGGTAACATTAACAATTATTGTAATTGGTACTTAGGTGACGAGGGGTAAATTTTATGACACTTAAACAAAACGCAACAATCTTCACACACTTTAGACCTTGACCAAAAACCACTTATGACTAGTCAACTGCTAGTCATGAACAGCCACAATCAATTAATACACACAGAGCATGCCGCAATGTACCTGCAACCCTAGAAGATTACTAGTGACAACCTAGGCACTCAGAAGGACCCGTCAATCTAGGCATCCTCTGTACTAGCAACAACTATGGTGAAAGTGTGTGAAATCATCATAATCAAGTAAACACCAAACAACAGATAATGATGACTAGTCAACCACCAAGAACACAAACCCAGAATTCATATGATGACTAGTCAACCACCAAGAACACAAACCCAGAAAAATTACAGAGATGCAATCAGAAATTGTTCACCCAGAAACCCACAATTGGGAAAAACTGGGGGTCATCAACCGACCAGGCAATCCATTAAGTAGAAAAAGATTCTTACAAAGGAACACAAGCAAGCTAAAAAAAAACCTAGATCTATTTAGGAAGATGAACTATACCTCTTTTGTGCAATCTTTTTCTCTAACTTAGCAAAGCTTGAAGCTCAGTTCTTCATGGCAATGGCAGCTCCTTCTCCAGCTCATTCATCCCATGGCACCAGCTTGTAAGCTCTAACTCAGACAGAAACCAAAATTTGAATTCAAAGGAGAAAGACCCAATTTCTTCAAGAGACCATACTCTTGAAGAAATTAGTCTTGAATCTGACCTAGATATAAATGAGAGAGTGTTTTAAGTAGCTAAATGCATATTCGTACTTCAAAAAGGAATCAATTAGGAAAAACTCATAAATGAAAATAAGATATGGTTCTCTCTTGAGGAAGAAGAAGAGAAATATGGCAAATCTAACTTTCCAAAACTTCCACACAAAAGAGACAGCTGCCAAATGAGGAATGCATGCGTTTTTACCCAAAATTCCTAGGTTAGAATCGTACAAGGCAACAAAGAGAGAAGGGAGAATAGGACAAAAAAGTTGGTTATCCAACTGGAAATCCTACAGAGCAAGGATGACTAGTCATACGAGAAACAGATGACTAGTCGTCATTTTATGAAATCAATTTAATGCAATGTGATGCAATGCACATGTACCTTTGTCAATTTGCTTGAATCTCCATAGGATAGTTGTTAGTTAAGAACACCTAGAGAAGCTATTCTTAATCTAAACTTGAGCTTGATAAAAACAATAAAAATCCTATTACAAAATTGTCAAGGGAAGCCAAAAGAAAAACTCAAAATGCATACATTAACAATTATAACTTCGCTGACAACTGTTTCATCCCTTACATTAAGTTAACCTTACAATAGATGTGAAAATACAGCCATCACTTTAGGGCACCATATCATACAAAACCAAACTTCAGTTGAACATATTGGGCAGGGGCCTCACTGCCATAAATGCATCCACCATCTGAAAAATATGCAAAAACATTCATCAATCCTTCCAAGTCATAACTGAGATTTCATATCATTCAAAATGTTTGCTTTCAATGCCATGTGCCAACAAGCATCTTTCAAAATCTATATGGGTGGCCAGAATCAGCAGAGTGACAAATAAGAATCTATAGAACGATCAATCCTTAGCCCCAGAAGCTTACCTCATCAGTCACAGCAGCTCTAGCCCTACGATGTCTTTCAACTAGTTCAGTCAAAACCTGAATAAGTAGTTGCTTAACTTCACCTGTTAGCATGCGTCCTGCACCATACTCCTAATAGTACCCGAAGTGAATTAGCAAAACAAGAAGGCATCATTTGTACTAATAAAAAAAATTTATTGATTAAAAAAAAAGTTCATTAGGATACCACTCTCACCTTCCTTATCTCTTCGAGTTTGTCGTCATCATCCAGGAAAAAACTGAGATATTTGAATGGTATATCTACCTGAATAATGTCCAGAAGATAAAATCATTCCTCAATAAGTTAAAAGGCACCAAGTACAGACAGACAAATCTTATAAGACATGAATCAAATTGGCATGTAAGTGCAGACAGATAAGCAGAATTGTTTTTCTTGCTTGGACAATCTATAATGAGAAGGGAAGGTAGTAGATCCAGCAACAATAACAGTCTCAAACCAATTGGAGAGGACAAATTTCTATTACTAACATGTGAGACAATTCAAATACCTCGAGATTTGCTCCAAGTTCTCTATGTTTCTCTATTGAATCTTGTCCACCAGAAAATGCATACCTGTTTATCTGCACATGCACACAAATTCTTTATTTTGTTAATCCTCAAGAATTTTTGAACCATTTGGACTGTGTGATTTCAGGTAGAAAAATTTGAAGAAAGCTACTTGAAGAAATAGAGAAGCATGTTTTTCACTGAGAGTTTAAAAGGTTACAATTTGAAACCTTGCATCATTTAAAGACTTTGGCCCTAGAATAAGAGAACATCGATAATGATTGTGCAAGAGTCTTAGTAAATAGAAAGGTTGTACAAATAAACCCACAGCAACAGCAACAGCAA